ACGCGGCTAAATTACAACTCATAAAGCTATAATAAAAAGTGAATTGAGTCGATTTATGTGCAGTTATATCGAAGCAGTGTACGTGTCACAAAAAAAATAATGTTTTAAAAACTTACATTTTTCACACTATTATAATTAATGCGATATAAATAGACGTATTTATAGCGGTTGAAAATATTAAATGAATTATGGTACTTTTTAACATATCAGAAAAGGATAGAGAGAATAATTATGTATAAAAAAATTTAATACATTAGATATTTTTTTATCAATAAAATCATACTGTTATATCCACAGTGTCAAATTTAAGTCGTTGTTTGAGTCTGCCATTGCTCCTACTTTCTACATAGTTCTTTTTAAAACAATAGAGTTATTTAAAACAGTTCACATTTAACCCAAATTTGGATTAAGTTCTATTGTTTTATTTAAAAATAACTATATATTAAGAGCAGTGGCGAAATAGAGTTAAATGTGACACTATAGATTTAACAGTGCAAAATAAATTTGACAATTCTGTAAAATATTTGTTACCATTATGCATTTTGGTTACAAGAAAGATAAGACGATAATTTCAATTCTACAATGCATTCAAGGATAAAGCAGCGATAATATTCAGCGTGGTCGAAATACAAGATGAGCCCGCGAATTTACGCCACTTCCTCCTGTAACATTAAACGCCGGGCGAATGTAATTTCGCTTTAGATATCGCAAAGGAGAGGAATGCGGGGATAATTGGAAAGATTACACCGCGAACGTGCGATGCGTTATGTATTTTACTGGCGGCGGCCGAGGAGGTCTTAGCTTAGCGACGAATTATCGGCTGTTTGTTCTAATATCCGTTGCACGACTTTCAGAGATAGTTGAGATAGTCGGTATCTGGGTCCCTCTCACGAGGAACATGAGAGCCCGGTTCCTCGGTAATTTAAGAGCTTTAGCAACTTGAACGCACGCGAGTTTGGGAACGTCAGAACGTAAGGAGTCTCACGAATACACGTATCCAAGCATCGCCCGTGATCAAATTCAGAAAAGAAATGTGAAAATTTGGCACCCGGAGAAAGTTTCGGAAGCCCGACCATGAAAACGTCGTGTTATACGAAACGCGAAGAATATGAAAAATGAGATTGAACTGGAAGAAATTGATGTGAAATGCTTGAAATTCAGATGCGCGGAATGCGCGGGTAAACGTCCGTATAATCGTATTCCGACGATTAAAAAGTTAAAATAGTCTTAATCGCACAACAGTCGACAGCTTTCGGATTTACTGAAGTTGAACGTGAGTTATAGCCGACGCAACCTGATAACAAAAATGCGGAGATGAAAACGATACGTTGCTCGTCGTAAATGTTGCAGTCGTGATAAACAGCGCGTTGTCCAGGATTGATTGATCCCGGCGCACGGCGGTGAAGTTTCGCGGTGGATTTGCCGAGAGAGTTAAAGGGTACCGATTTAAAAGTCTCGTTCACAATGGGACCTCACGCGTTGTACGTGATATATTGGTATAGAGTTAGAGAAGTGTCCGCCGATGGGTGTATTTAATGATCCGCTTCTTCTACGCGGAATCACACATCGACTTCCTGCACCACTGCCACACTGATCCACATCGATATCGATCTTCCTAGATCCTGTTTGCGCGACAGCATTCTCGCTATAGTTTTCTTGCTAAACTGACTGAATTCGAAATATGCACTTCGGATATTGAGTTCAGCTAGAGCTCGAGTTTACAAAAGTACAAAAATCTCAGAACAAACGCATCTAAAACTTTTAAAACTGAAATATTTAAGAAACAAAAGTCGCAGCGACCCGTCTATGTATAAAACTCAGTAATAAATTTTTTCTCTCTATAAAAGACCTACCTAAAATACATATAGAGCTAATATTGCAAAAATATGTTTACATTTAAATACAAAGTCTATGTCGAAATATTTTTTTAAGGGTCTAACAATGTTAGCAGGCGAAAGGGCGTTTAAAATAAATAATTTTATGCGCGTACATACAAATCGCCGGCATCGCTTCCTGTTCCAGATTATTTATTGTATCCACAGGCTAACGGTGCATGCATCCTTACGCGTTCCACGTACAAGGTTCTCTAAATGGACAAGCATTGTTTGCCAGCGAGTCGTGTAGTGTCGGTTAATAGTGCAGTCGTATCTAAGAGAGATAATTTAAATATCGAAATTATCGCGGATAAAATTTAAAGCTTGAGTCGCGAATATGGAAAGGAGTAATGTGCTAAAAATTAAAAAAAAAACGTTCGAAAAGTAATGAAATATAAAACTTCAAAAATTGTTATCGATGTAAAAGAACTATTTATAGAATTTGATTGCCTTGAAAGACGTCGTGAATTAAAAAATTAAAGAGCTTAAAAGTTTGAAAACTGAAGTAATCTGATAATTTGGAAATCTAGGAAGTGAAGAGAGAACATCAGTCCACATCCGATAAGATGTAGAATTCGAAGAATCGCGTCTAGCCTGCGGATCACGGCTCGCGGTCTTTTAAGCGACAGGTGCAAACATTCAGGCAGCAGCGCAAAAAAGGAAGCCGGTAATTGTAAGCCCCGGGTAGAAAAACCAGTTTGCTAAAAACAACCCGGGCCTGATCGAGTCTCGTTGCGGAGCTACCGAATAACCAACGGGTATCGGTGTAGCAACGTGCGTGTGAGACGCTCGTGAGCGAAGCGGCTTTTGGAAATCCGTTTTAAAATGTCTCTTAAAAAACCTCGAGTCCCGCGGGAATTATATGCGTCTCGCCGCCCAAGAGAAAGTCTCAAATGCATTCGAGATATTTTGGAGTTGAACGAGAAATTATATTAGAATGAGATCATATGACTTTAAATCACTTTTAATGCGCCGTCCGAAAGAGAGATAAACCCTCTTAACATTTTTATTGTTTACACGCGTCTCTCCGAGATGACAACTAAATATAAATTAATGGGAATACGGCGGTAAAGTTACTCCGACGTTCTTTAGTATGACGTTCACGTTTAATTCTAACGTAATAAACGCACGCAGTCATTCTGTCACGCTGAAAAGGCGCCGGAGAGTCGCAATACTTGAACTTCTGCAGGAAATACTTTCTATGAATGAACTTTCTCACCGCTCATCGAGGGAAAGATACATTTAAATGCCAAAACGAAGATCCCGGAGCGGGACCCGCGAAAACAAAAATTACAACTTATTCTCTCGCGTAAAGCTACCTTCTATGCTATTATCAAATTACAGAGAAACTATCGTTTCAATAATATGACAATTTATCTTCTTGAATAATTCAAAATGGCTCGAAGCGCTTGAGAGCGTAAAAAAGCTTTAAAAATTTTGAATTCTTGCAAGATTAAAAATTTTCGAGACATTTCCATAATGGCACTTTTCAATTTTTAAACTAAAACAAGACAGATCGCGATGAGTGGACTTAAGATTTTGAAAATTAGAGAACTAAAATCGAGGCACTTTCTCGGAATTCTTTAGAAATTTTGTGGCTGTAAACTTTTTAAATTTGCAGAACATAAATGGAAGACGTGCAAGAATCGAAGCTCAATATATCATTACGCGAATTTCCGTTTGTGTTTACGTACGTGTCCGACAACAATGATTTCGTGAAAAAGGAGAACAATGCCCTATTCGACATGCTATAAGCGACCCCGCTGGAATTCCAACGAGCTCTCTGGCCGGCGACAGGTGAAGCCACGTGCTGTTCGTGCTGCAAGTCGCAGTCGCCTAGTTTCGAATTTAAAGACGTTCGTTATTCAATTCAAATACGCTAACGGGCTAACGGACCAGGCTCGCAGGATTTCCGCCTCAGCGGCGACGTTCGTTACTGTATTCTAGAAGAATCGGGTTAGGAAAGGTCAGGTAGAGACGATCGACCTGGAGCCGGTTGTCTGCGAGAGGACTCGCAGTTAAGTATCATTTTTCAGAGAAAGTATCGTATGGAAAGTGTTTGTGTTCTCGAATATATGTGTGTATATATATATATATATATATATATATATATATATATATAGCATACATTAAAAAGTAGAAAGCCTTATATATTACAAAGCATTATGCAAAGCATCCTGAGAAATGCGTAAATACATTTCAAAATAAAATGTAAGATCAATCTGATATATTATATATAGATCAATCTGAAATATATTAGAAACCAGACATGACATCATAATTAGGTAAAAATACAATAGTTTTCAATGCTGATTTCCGTAACGTTTCTATCTTGAAATATAAAATAAAATCTAGATCATAGAATTGATATTTGCGGCTAATGGAAGGACGCGCGTGTCGAGTATTCAAAGTCGTCTTGCAGGAACATCGCCGCGATTTGCGAGTCGCTCGTTATTTTGCCAGCGTATATGATGAATGTGAGCCTTAAGGACTGCGGGAGCCCTACATTATATACGGGGGCCTTTCCGTTGAAAGAAGATATATTTAGACCGGGCCCTTGAAAGATCCTGCCAGGCGTCTCTCGGAACGCGTCGCGAGGCGAATTCATTTTGAAAGCGCACGCAGGGCCTTTCCCTTGCAGATTACAAGGATGAAAGATTCACAAAAGGTCACGGATTCACAGGATACCGTTGCATCGATGCATTATTTATCCTCGCGACAATAGCGCACGCAACGTGATTTCAGGCAAGTAAATCGATCTGTCAAGATTGACGTTAAAGACGATTGCGCGCATGAAAATGTAGTAAGAAAAGCGCGCGGCGTTTTTATGATCTCGGATACTGTAACTTATTTAAGAGCAACATTATAAAATCTTTTGATGGAATAAAGAATAATCTTTAGTTACAGCTAAATTTTTTAGACTTTTTCTAAAAAAAATTTTAAGACTAAAAAATAATTTCTTTAAATTACTTCCCTCATTCTATCAAAGAGTTTTTAAATCTTTTTCATAATTTTATTTTCTAATATAATTAATATTTCAAATGAATTATGTTGTTATAATATTAAATGCATATATTAAGATTTAACTGATCGATTTAATTAAATATGATCATTATAGAAACTTACCTCGCACCTGGACGTGTCAAGTATCTCGACCTCCGTCGTGACGTTATCAATAGTGACGCTGTGTCGGTAGAGAAAATCTGCAAACAAGTGGAAATTAATTCATTTAATTGATTCTATTAATCAATTCTTTAGTTCGATTATTATCGCTCTAAGATCTCGTACAACTCGCGAGATGTATCAAAAATAAAAAAATCAGCAACGAGTAAAAATTAATTCATTTAATTGATTCTATTAATGTTTTTAGTTCGATTATTATTGCTTTAAGATCTCGCGAGATGTATCAAAAACAACGACACGACGAAACGATCTTTCTTAATCGACGTCATTTCAACGACACTCGTCGATCTCTTTGGAAAAGTTTTGAGCGACATTTTCCCAAGGATAGAAAACGCGGCTAATGCGCGAAAGTGCCGTGGCAATCAGTAACGACAATTCCAATTAGTTACGCTGACGCTCACTGCCATGTCATTACGATCATTGACAATGACACGTGACTTTCGCCTGGAAATTCGTGATCAAAAAAGATCACGGACAGCCGTATATTAAGACTTAAATTTTTGGATCGTTACACGCTCGAATTATTCACACACGTCAATCTTGAAAAATCCATGTAAGTATATAATATTTGAAATGTCGAGTGTTCATATTTCTCTTAAATTTCGTTCAAAATAGATTCTTTGAACTTTTTCATTATACATTCGAATCAAAGACTTCGGCCTGTCAAATTTTTACTCTCTATTCCAGTATTCCTAGATTTTTATTATATATATTAAAACATTTAAATTCTTGTGGTTCTCGATATTCGTTGCGCCTCGAATATGTGAATGCTGGGAACATTTAGATCTTCAAGCTTACACCTTCGGTAGGACAAAAAAGGGAAAGCTCATATTTCTCGGAGCTGATTAGCGCTCGAGGAGCATGTGCACCGAAGAAGAAGCAGAAGATGAGAAGACGCGGAAGCACGTCGAGCACAGTAGCCCTAACAGGGTAAGCATAATAAATAAACGATAAATAAACGCATGAACACCTCGTAGTGTCGGGCAGCGACGAAACAAGCAAATAAGGATGCTCGCTATATTAGCGGCCGTTACGCTCGAGAAAGTTTTATTATCGGACAATGCTGATGGAGATTTGACCAAGCGTTGCGATGGAAAATTCATTGCGTCCTCCCGTGCGCGAGGAATATCGGCGTGAGGAAAAATAAGCTACCAAGACCGCGAGGTGCAATTTGAACTCTGCATGCATGCGTACGAGACGCGTCTACATTCCGTTCGCGCTCGTGAAAAGAAATCGAGCGATCTAGATAAGCGCGCGGGAGATAGCTGAGGCCGAAGGAAGGAAATTTAACGAATGGAATTATTTCGTAGATAAGACGGACGTATGCAAGTGTCTAGAAATCTAATTGTAGTCCCATCTAAATACAGGAACAATTTGCATATCAGACGATATGGAAAGTTAAATCTTCGATGAGAAACCTTGATAAAAGTACGAGATTTAATTTCTAAGAAATCGAGAGTACGAAGTGGTATAATAAAAGCTGTAAGTTAACAAAAAAAAAAAGGAAGTAGCCATGACACACTTTCGTCGGGCGCAACTGGAAATGTAACTGTCACCGGTCGCGCGGATTCGAGCTTTTGCGGGAGATCTCATCTGTCTCTCCGGTACGTGATCTATTGTCGATTTATCGAAGGAACGGGATGCTGCACGATGTAATCTTCTCCGCGCGCACGGACAAAACGTTCCCATCCGCGCACGCGCGCGCGTGCGCGCGAGAGAGAATCGACAATACAACGAGACTCGCTTTCTAAATCATTGCCTGGAATTATTCCACGCAAAGGAGAGAGAGAGAGAGAGAGAGATTTGCATTGTTAATCGAGATCAAAATAATAACAAGTACACTGCATCGTGGCGAGAGATGAAAAGGACCGATTATCTTCCCCCGAGTCCGATAAAACGACGACATCGCGCTCGTGTACGAATACCTTGTAATCGAAATTGCCGGTAAAGAGATCATCCTCGATCTTCCTTCGAGAGATCAAATTTAAATCGTGCGGTGGACGCCAATATAAAGTGGCTATTTCGAAAGTAACGTCGCTATCACGGCTTGCATGTTCAGATGTCTAAATTTGCGAGAAAGAAAAAGAGAAAGAAATATTTTTTCATAAAGAAAAAATCGAGAGAAATTCAGAGAGTGGAGATAGCTAGATCTTTAAACTCTCACATCTCTAATTGTAAGTTCTTACGCCTTTATATGCAAATATTTTTGTATTTTAATAAAAATATTTTTATATTTAAAATTCTATATTTCCAAATTTTCTTAACTTCAAATTTATTTCTCGCAATTTATTATTATTCAATTCTTAAAATTTGTTTTAAAATTATTTAGTATAATAAATTATCATTCAATTATTATCTATCTTATTATCATCTAAAAAATAATTTTAGAATATATCTTTTTAATATCTTTTTACTGATATTTTTAGATTTACACAAATAGGTTAATTGTTACTAATACGCCAAAAAAATTTTCCACATTTCATTTTGTCACATCACCTACGCGAACTGGCTGAAGGAAATCAATGGCCCCGCTTTCACCGTTTGAGGGCGTTTCTTCGGAAAAGTGATTCTCCAACGATCGGGAACGAAAGTGTGCGCGATAACCCGCGCACGAGTCGCACGAAGTGTCGACGCATTTTCGATTCGTTTCACACGAGATGTACCGAAAGAGAGACGGAAGGAGAGAGAGGGAGAGGGGAAAAGAAAGAGAGAAAGAGAAAGAGGACGAAAGAGACATTGCATACGATCGTTATGAATGCGATCTCGATCTGAGCCTATTCTTAAATCGAAAAAACGTCAAAATTTTTGTTAACAAAGTTGAAGGTAAATTTTCGATGTTCTTAAATAAAAAAAACTTATTGTTGGCAATAATTTTATAAAATTCAAAAATTTTATACAATTGCCAAAATTTTTACGTGGTATATTCTAAAAAATATGAAGAAGGTAATTAAAGAAAAAACACGATTGACAAGGATAAACTATTTGTCCAATATTCATTCATATCTCTGACACGTCCTGAAACTTTATGTATATAAAGCAGTCTATGTAATATCTTGAGAGACCCCTCGCGTGTCTGCATCGCAATTTTTTTATCTGTCATTATTCTTATCATTTTTTTATCGAGTCTCGATGGACGGCGATTGGTTCGTAGCGCCCACAGCGTCATCTCTGAGGATCGATTGAGCGATTATCCCCCGCCTCGATTAAGCGGGTACACGTGAGATTATCCGCTTCCTGGTTACATTCAAGAATGATTATCCATCATTTTCCCAGGAAATTAATTAATACCGATGGTAGGAGAGAGCAGTCGCGACAGCACCCTTCTACTCTCGTTCATTATCGATCGCAGCATTATAGATCGATAGGAATCAAGATTGATTCCAAGTGCCAGTTATACACGAGAGAAATTCGATAAATCGATGATTGCGCTATTGTACCGGGGAGCTTTCCGCACATTAGGTACACTACGTGGACGCAGTTGCAAAGAAAGCGAGGAGAAACTTCGCGTGCAAATTGACTTATAAGTTTTCTTGTAAATTTCCGATCCGAAAACTTTTATACTTTTCATACAAACTGCTCAAGAAATTACATTTTTTTCCCCAACTACTTTGGATTACTAAGTTATTAATGATTTAATTCAGTTTTCAAGAAAAATAGACTCATAAACCATTAACGTCCGTACAAAACATTAAAAGAAAAATGTATATAGGACTGAAATATTTGAGGTAATAATTCTCACCATCTTTACGCTTTATGTCAACATAAAAAGAGTTAAATCCTTCCTCAAAAAGGAAGCGTAATCCTGAATGCGCATAAAATCCCATTCAGGCAGTTTTATCTGCAATCTTAGCCTAATCAGGATATAAATTTACGTATTTTACATAATTATATTTGCTTCAAGCGCATCGATTATCGTCGCGATGATGTTCCTGCAACTAGCGGGATCGCGATAAAATGGTGTGGTACATAGCCGGCGAGGATGTATACGATATGTACATACGGCCGGCTCCGACCGTAGAGGTGTTACAAAAATACGAGCGGCCGGCCGGTTCAGGGTTAAGGGGACAATACTTCACGGTGAATTTTTCCAGGCTGGCTCGGATATCCGCGAAACTCGCCGTCGTAGCTTATAACGTCCGCGGGCGTGCACGGCAATTATTACGGCGAAGTAGCCTGCATGAGTTATGGGAGAGATCTGCATTCTGCGGGCCCTCCCCATAGGCTCTATTTCATATCGAGTGTTTAAATCTCCGCCCTCCACACCGGGGTCCGGCGCGGTGTTCGCGTTGCCATCTCTTTCTCTCTCTCTTTCTCTCATTCCCTCTTCTTTCTCCCTCTAAAACTCGCGCTGCTGCCCTATCCTCCTCCCCCCCCTTCCACCCTCTTATCTCGTGTATTTCTGTGACCGCTAGAATGCCCTCAGGACGTTGCTCGCCAGGCGCCATGATTAAGATTTTTCACTAGAACCCTTGAATTAGAGTCCGGTTTCGAGCGCGAGAATATTTCACGGCGGATTTTTCCGTCGCGGCCCCCGCGCGCGCGCGCGCGGAGCACGCGAGAGGCACCGATCGAGATTTAGATTCGCGTTTTGTACTATACGGGGTGAGTATTTCGCGCGAGCACGCTGCATGTTTGCGATCGAGTCGGGGCCCGCCTCCCCCCGCGAGATGCGAGTCGATAGCGGAGCACGAGAAAGGAACTTAGATATGAACTGGACAATTTATCCAGAATACCGACGCCTCGAAATTAGCAACGAATGGACGCAATCATTCACGTTTCGCATTGGCAATTATCTCGAGGGAGGAGGAAAAAGGGAATAATGTAAGAAACACTTACCACTGGTCGAGCTGTACTCGCCGATGTATCGCCTCGTCAAGTACCGCACAACCACGGCTGCAACAGAAAGAGAAAAGCGACATTGATTAGCTTCGAAAACGAATCTCGCGAATAATCGCGGTGAGTCTGATGGGATACATACATCTATGGAATCTGTAATTACAAGTAATGATATAAGAAGGCGTATTTTCGTTCTCTATAGCTCTTATAGAAGGTCCGTGCGAGTGCGCAGGTGTTGAAACGCCATTAACTTATTTTCAATGTTAATAAAGAAACCATAAATATTCGCGAGGAACGGGTTTTCTCGCGGGTTGCCGATAAATTTCTTGTGTCATAAATTCCGTTTCGTTGCGGCGCGCGAAACGCGACTTAAGATCCAACATGCAGACGACGTTCCTCACATCGTCGTCGTCGTCGTCGTCGTCGTCGTCGTCGTCGTTCAAATCTCGCGAGACTTATTGAGTACATAGATTCGTACCGCTCTGTACTCGTAGGTACACCGTTTATAAATCTGTCGTTGAGTGCAACCCGACGACGACGACGACGACGACGACAACGACGACGACGATGACGACGGGAGGGAAGCAGAGGAAACATCAAGAAGAGAAAAGAGGAAAGGAGAGGTAGAGACGCACAAGCAGAAACGGAATATAGAACTTCATTCGTGAGCTATTTGCTGAGATGAGAGATAGAGTGCATATCTTCGAAATATCCTCGTGCAGCTGGACGACGATATTTCAACGCCGATTCTCAACGTGCAGCGCTCGCGGAAAGTCAATGAGAACAGCGGGAGCTGCTGGTCTCTTCGGAGAAGGAAATTCTTATTAGAATTATTAATTATAATCATATGACATGTAAATCGCGCGAATATTTTATATTGCGTTTTATCTAAGAAACTAGACGTATTGTATATAAATCCCATAGATAAGTACATCTATAACATCTATGGAAAAAAATTATGCATTGTTCTGATTTTATTTCAAATATAAAAACGAAATTATTATAGTGCAATAAAAGATCAATCAAAGTCATCAAAGATCATGCTGCTGTAATTAGCACTTTGGATTTGTAACTAAAAAATAAAAACTTTGAAAAGCTGCATTTTCAACGAATCCATGCAGACATCCGCGGATGATCATCGTGCTGAGCGACTCGGTAATCGAGTGAAGATTCTCCCATTCTCCCTTTGGAGATGACTGTCATCAAATCGAGGCGACGTCCACGCGTAATCCTATACAGGCCGCGCGAACCGGAGTAATTGATGTGGACACGGGAATGTTGCTCGTAACGCCTAATAGTCTCAGCAGTAATCTGTGCCAAGCGGCCGAGTCTAATGAAAGCACGCTCTCCACCGCACTCAAGTCCAAACGCGAGGGAAACCCGACACTCGTGCGTACTCAGATACAAAAGCGTTTAATAAAATTCTTGTCTTTCGTACACGGTCAATCCGGACGAACGATGACAATATGGTGGGCTTGATACGGTTGTCTTTATAAAGGATAAAAAATAATCGATGGCTCATGCAAAATGCGAGACATTGCAGATGTCTGTAAGAAAGAATAAATCCGACATAAAAAAATAAAAAAAAATAATTGTTCACAGTGGCACTATCGAATGAAAAAATTCTTAAAAGCAACAGTCAAAATCTCCCAAAGGAAGTGATCCTTCGACCGATAGCGCAAGTGACCATATATACAAAACAAAAACAAAGAGAGAGAGAGAGAAGAAAACGGGGGGGCGGGAAGAAGAACGAGCAGGAAGAAGAGAACGAAGAAGAAGAATAAGAAGAGGGAAGCCGATTAAGTCACCTGCGGAGAATTGTGTGTAATGTGGAAGATGCAACGGTACGAGCAAAACGCAGCCATTCGCGGTGCCATTCGCCGACGTGCGATGGTTGCCAGCGCGGGGTTCTATAGATAGATCGTTGGAGGATAAGCCGCTTGGTGGACGTAAGAAAATAGTAATTACGGCCACGATCGCTGTGGATAGGAGGGGAAAGGAAGAGGGAGAGAAGGAGGGAAAGAAAAGAGAGAGAGAGAGAGAGACAGAAAGAGAAAAAAAAATCGGGATGGTGCGGCGCGTGATCAACCAAGCGCATCCTCTTGTCTCGTTGAAATCTTCTCTCCACCCCAAAGATTCAACACGATCTTTTATTGGAACAAATTTCGCTCAGACTTGGCGTATTAATTTTGTATTTCTTACCGCAGAGTATCGAAATTGCATTTTAATTATTTTAATTGTCACAGGCACGATTATTAACAGTAACTTTTCATACAAATAAAAAAAAATGAAATTTAATTATATTAGGAAAAGGAAGAAAAATAATGTATTAAACATCGACTGAAAAACATTTCTTTGAAATACAGAATTAACAGGAAATGTGATTTTTCTAAAAAACGAAAGATCAAATTGTAATTTAATAGTATAATGTATAGAAAGTTCTATATTTAAAACATCAAAAGGGTAATAAAAGTCTCAGATTGATCCTGCAGAAAAGAAACTCGTTGAAGCGCGACTTCCACGAGCCACTATTCTGTCCGCTTTTCTTGTGACACGGCAATAAAGCAAGTCGTTTAGACCAAATGAATTTATGAACACGTCTCGGCTTGGATATAGCGGACCTCCAATTGCCTCTTCAATGAGCGTTAACGCAGATAAATGGCTCCAGATAACAATCTCGCGTTTCTCGCGTGACCATAATTCTTTTCATGATTCCTCACTGTCAGCAGTTTTTGCAGAAATCTACTTGTCGTTGAAGAATTCTCCAATTTACTCGGAAATATTCGATTCAAGCTATACGCTACTGGTATTTTTTTGCGAGAATTAATTTTCTATGGTACAGTTAGCGCGCGTGATAATAATCGAATTTCAAATTTCAAATTTTCCAACAGAAGATCTTCGTTTTCTTTAACGTAGAAGGAGTTACGGTTACGTTATTTTGCGTGAACACACGACGTTCTTTCGCGACCACCGCGTATGTCAGGCGAAGGTGCGATAATGCGGAGGAAGAAATGGTGCCGCATAAATTCGGAATCCAGAGAATCGAACGCCGCGGGCAACAGGACAGATGTATCGGATGTGCAGATCTTACCTGCTGCTGCAACTGTGCGGGATTTTTCGTGGCGCGCTATATACGACTCCCTTTACTCTCCCCTCTCTCCCTCCTCCCTCTCGCACAGAACGATATCCGATAACGTCCACGGAGGTCCTTATTATACCCAGCGGGATCCCACAAGAGACTTTTAAGGATTCGCTCTCGTCGGGATATCCCTCTTCCCATCACGCGCGCGCCGCCGCCGCGCCGGCCGTCGCCGCGTGAGAATGCGCCGTTTTCGCCGCAAAAAAGTAGAACAGACGACATTGTCGCGTGTTTTGCCGCAATCACGATCCGTGCGTGGCAGTGAAATGCGCGCGGCGCGAATGCAGAAGCGGGCCGTATCGCAATTAAATAAATATGTTCACGCAGAAAAAAAATGCAATAATCCCCCTCCCCCCTCCCGACCCGTCAGTGGTCGTGATATCCCGAGAGTATAGGAATACAACGCGCGACGCCATCGGGCAACACAACTTTCTACTCGAAGACGCGAAAATCTTACGACTGAGGAATTTCAGGTGTCCGACATTACGAGATCTAACAGTTGCATCTTCGAAAGATGTATAGTCAATATACAATATTAGAAAGGTGGCAATTTCGTAAATAATGGCAATACCAACAATGCGATCGTTTGCGGACGATTGAGTCGACTCCGGGTGACTTAACAATTGCGAGGATGCAAAATTGGCGGGCACGGGGAGGAGGAAGAGGAGAGTCATGTACACGAGATCCAGACGAGATCGGAATAAAACGAAGAGCGCGCGCCTTTATTAAGGTGGCCGGTCCTAGCGGTTATTAATAGGATTTATTCGAGGTCGGCGAACCGGCCTTATCGCCGTTCGTTTGCTCGCTTTGTACGCGTCGCGCGACTGTCGGGTTAACTAATGCAACGTATTATTCCGCGGACTATGCGTATCCATCTTAACGGCACTTTCATTCAATGCGCTGCGTCGGTCGGTGCGCTATTAGACAACGCGCAGAAATTACACGCTGCACGACGACCGCGACGGCGCTGCGATATTAGTATCGTCCACCATAATGAACGTCCTTCCGACGTGATTCAATATTTCACGACCATCGCGCCGTAATCGACCTCCGCGCGTCTTTTTTTTCCCCCCGTCGTTTATCATGCAGCCAGCGAATGGATTATCGATATCGGCGCGAGCATCAACCAACAGCGAGCTCTCATATTCTTGAGGAAATCAACTCGGAAATCAGCATTAGCTTCCGCGCGGATCTATTCCCCGCTGTCCGTCCGTCTTACCGCGATCCGATTTCATTTCGCGCAAGATCAACGCGCGGTAACCTTTCTCCTATCGTAGATCACGAAACAACGGCGGAGCAATTGCACAATTCAATTATAATTTCTTGTAATCTCAAGTAAATAAATCTAACTTATTGTTAGTAATTAGAATTGATTCGGTTTTAATCGTGATTTTTTTATTTATTTATTAGAATTCCGTGGAGTTGATAGTGGAGTTAACGAAAATGGGAATGTATGAAGCGAAGTCGAAAGCAGGAAAGAAGAATCACCTGATTTGCCGACTCTGGGGCCGCCGAGGACGACCACCTTGATCCTGTTTACGTTTGTCATCAGCTGCGTGGGCCAAGTGTCATTCGGGCTGATCGCTGAGCATCACACATTGCCTCCGCAGTGAATGCACCAGTTACATCACTTTGCACTTTACTCGCATCCCCGGTCCTCGGCAGGACACTGACACCCACTCGCGCGCGCAAAAGAGCGCCGCTGTCCTTCTCGAGCACACGCGACAATCGCCAGCACACTCAACGGAATTAATTACTGTAACGAACGGTCAATCATCTGCTCGAGTCATCACTGCTCAATTCCGCGGCGATGTAATTAACGACCGCTAATCAATCTCTGATGCACTTCATTAAATTCTCTTTCGTTTCCGCGCAAGAGAGAAAGAGAGAGATTGCACAGAAAACAGGCGGATCTTACTCCAGCGATTGAGAAGGATTATATAGAACCAATAGAAAGAGATATATTCAATTACAGTGCGGTGTGAAAGCACAAAGATATTGTTTCGAAGAGAAGCAACGAGAGCTCTCCTCTCGCTCTCGTTCCTCGCCTTGAAGTATTTAATCGGCGATTATCTATTAATCATCGGCCGAAGTCGTCCGCTTAGATACGGAGAGCTATTAATGGCAGCGTTAATTAGAACCTTCCCCGCTAATTCCCGGCGACTCGCAGAAGACGGTGGCGATGGCCGATGAGAGCAGAGGCAACCGACGCTGGTCCCGCGCTGATGTTCGTTTTCTACCCGGTGGAACGAACGTAACCGCCGATTACGAGGTCGCCTGGCACGCCGAGCGGCGGACTCTTCCTCGCGCGGGGATCCTTGGCGGCGCGATAAAGCCGGCGCGTTGAGTAACACACAGCCCCCTTTTCCAGTCGCGGCGACGACACGCCGATCTTGCGCAACACACTCTTCTTGCGATTCTGCACGTTCGAAGCGCCCGAATCGAGCGCGATCGAGCTCCTTTCTCAGGGACCGACAGCCGCGCGCGAGCGATTGGCCACCTCGGTCAGAAATCACAATGCCGCCTTCTCGTCGAGCGCGTTTATTAGCGTTGAACGACCGCCGCTATCTTATCACAATTTCTCAGTATTCTGAAGACAACGAGTCTCCCACGTGATGCAAGTTTTGTTTGTTTTCCTCTCGTCCTTTTTTCTCTTCAGGTGACAGAAGTCCGAGCCTCCTCCGGACGACTTTTGTCTCAGGAAAAATCTTTGTGCTCAATTGTTCCCCAATTAATTCAACAATTGTGTATATTTAGTCAAAGTTCCCTTCACTTATATCACTTCCGAACGAATGGTTACCAACTTATATATTTATTTTTCCACAAGCGGAAGCGCCGAGGATCTCCAGCTGATCCACAACTGTCAACTCTCTCTTTCTTTTTCTCACCGAGACTGTCAATGCCTCACTTAGCTTTACGCACTAATTAACTGTACACTCCAGCTTCTCTTTATCGCGCACAAAAAAAACGTGGAAGAAAGTTCGCGGCGCTTCCTCTTCTCGGTTTCTTCTAAATACTCGCGTCCCTCCTCTCCGGCCCTCGTGCAGGACATCGAACTCGATAGCTCGATTCGGAATTACGGCGGGATCCTCCTCCTTTTTCACACCTTTCGCAAAGCAAAGGGTGATGCTTCCGAACGAGCCTGGGTTCCCTCGCTCGCTCGCTCGCTCGCTCGCTCGTCCCGCAGCGGCCGACGCTGCGCTGCGAATAACAACACAAGCAGCGATTCAAGAAATGCCGTCTCTCTGGTTCCATTTATAACGGGTCGTCGGCCTTCCTCCGCGCGTCTTCTAGCTTGGCGCCGCCGACACGTCGGCGATTACGAAAAAAGGACAGGCATGCATGCACGCACGCACGCACGCACGCACGCATGTACGCACGCATACTGATGCATACGCACGCGCAGAGCGCAGACTCGCTTCTTCGCTCGCTCGCGCGCGCGCGGAGACGACGGCAGACGACGACCGCGAGAAAAGTAGGATGCATTCATCCCCCGCGGCGACACGTAACTTTTTGTTTCGCTGCCTTTTCTTTTTGCTGAATACCGCGAGCTAATTTTATAACGTTTCGAGAGAAGTGGCGGGCTTAATTTTGAATGAAAGATTAAGTCATTTCGGAGCGTGATTGTCGCCGTAAAATATTGGAGCATTTGATTCTTTTCTCTGCCTACGTGACGGTGTTGAGCAAAAAATTCTCAGAGAAAGAAGGAGAAAACTAACTCCTAGTAAAAATAACTCCTCAAAAGTTACGGTTTCGCAGCAGTTTAGGTATCTTTCGAGAAATATTTCGATATACGGTACACAAGAAAAATCTTCAGATATTCTACGTTACATTTAATTAAAATATAAAAAAATCTAATCAATACGACAAACGAGCAAATAATATAACGGGAAAGTAACTGAGAGGAAAACGACGAAGTAATCAACGTAGCGGGGAAATAATTAATGGAGGAATAATTAACATAATGACGGAGTAGTAAACATAACGGCGGAATATATGACAATTGTTGTAACGGAGAAATAATTAATACGCGGGATGATAAAACACGCGCAAAGAAAAGCAAAGAAAAAAAGATTCCCCGAACGCTTCTTGCGCACTGAAAAAATCGCGAAGTCGTCACCCGTCTCTCATTCTCATCTCTACTACGCTTTAAATGATACCTAGATTAGATAACGCGCGTTCCATATCACGTATTAAACTTCATTATCTTTCAGAACGCATTGCAACGTTATTATTCACGAGAAATTCTTTAGACGCGCCGTTATCGTGAAACTCCGTCACGTTGTTGAACAACAAAGCGAGACGACACGTGCTAGATTGAATAAAATGCGAATAGAATAAAATCATTAATTCGGATCGTAAATAATCAAATAATTAATTAATTCTGAAATGAATAAATTCTCGATCGTATCCATTATGTGGGATACTTCTGACAAATTAACTGGACGCTGCAACAGAAACGCGACCGAAGTAAAATCACGAATGAATGAGTTATAAAAAGAAGCCTTAAAATTCCATTCAAAAAATCCGGCAAATGCAAGAACGATTCGCCGAAATACGTGATTATGACACGTTCAACCGATATAAATGTTTATTAATCGTCGTTTAGTATATTCTTGAACAAATCGCAATTCAGCGCTTTCGAATGAACAAATATGTCATCGATAATACAACAATCTGCACTCGATGTCGCGAATAAATTTTTCAAAATGCGCTCTATTACAAAACTATACTTTACTCGTGCAAAACTGCTTTCGCAAGATTATCTCGTTCCACATTTCATCCTTAAGATAAATCGAATTGAATCAAGTAATTTTTATAGATATATAGCATTTTCAAATTAAAAATAAATTAAATTTTGCGTTATATCGTAGGATAATATCATAGGGAAGAGAATTATCGATTTATTATAATTATAATTAATTATTATAATAATTTATCAGACAAAATGTGACGTAGGTGAGAATAATCTCGTGTAATTAATTCGATCGAATATTATACGATACGAAGTCACGCGATTGATTATAGATCGGTTAGTTTCAAACCTTATCTGCCTACTTAAATTTCGGCATGTATCACAAATGTTTCTGTTCATCGGCTGCGCAAGTGGGAAATCATGCTCGTCGCTCGCGATAGAGGAGCGTAATCGGAAACCACGGTATCGGTTTCCTCGCACACGTAGCAAGTTCTACGACGTGTAAATACTGAATGCGCAGATGCGCCACTTGTTTATTTAATGAGATCGATTCTCTCCGGAGAATTACTCGCGCGATAATATCTCACGGAGATTCTATTTTCGTCTTCCGAAAATTCTACCGTCAGCTCCGATCCTATCAACGTCGTCTAGCAGTAATTGTAATCAGCTAAATTGTACGTATCGATTTTCTCTATTACAGCGAGAAGCGAGAACTATTATCGAAGCAGAATCGGTTAAAAATTAATCGGTGAAAATTAATCACGGTTCAAGAATTAATCAACACTGGGGAAGAATCGAGCCAATAATTGCGTTATTCGTGTCAAAATTCAATTAACGGTGCCTGAGGTCCCTGTACAAATTAATTCTGTCGATTAGCAGCGATCGCGAGTCGTGTTAATCGCATCAAGGAAGGCCGATGACCCGTGGATTAAATAATACATTTCTCTCCGCACTTGCCGAGCGTTCCACCAAGATATTTCAGCGAATTGCACGTCGGCATATCCGATATTTAATTAAGTCACGGTTACGGGCATTAATAAGAAAATTAACTTTTGTAATTGACTTTAAGAGATCAACTGATAGCCTTTAAGCTATGACAAAGGCGAACCGAAGCCTCTCGGTGAATCTTTCTAAGCAGAATAATTACCTGATAATCTCAACGGTTATACACACTCTTGCACGCAATTACGGTTGGAGCAGTTAGAATTTCAGCAATCAAAAATCGATTAAGACCCGCCAATCGTGGCTCGGTATACCGTCGTGGTACACGTCGAAGTGAGCCGCCGGTAAATGTTTAGAAAACCCGAGAACGGCACTGGAAGCATGAACTCTCGAGTGCATCGAGCACCACTCCGCCGCGATTATTTCAAGATCACGTCTCGATACTCGGAAAGGCTCGTGTGTCCACAACTTGACGGTCAGAGCTCGCACTGAACAAGTCCGACGACGACGACGATGAAACGTGCGATTATCGAAGCACGCGGAGAGAAGCGCGAACTCCAAAGAGTAGTCCTGTGGTTGTGCAATTTTCCGGGGAAAATTATTGCGTTCGCGAATTTCGGACGGTCGCAACGGCGACGGCGACGCGGCGCGGGCCGTGGGGCACTTGACGTGGACTCCCGAGGAGAACGAACGCGCGCGCGCGCGAGAGAGAAAGAGAGAGAGAGAGAGAGTAAAACACGCGCGGCGCGCACACAGCTCGCAGCACTCTCCACTCTCAGCGAGCGCTCGCCGGCGAATGCGCGGCGTTCGCGACCGCCTCGTCTAATATGCACTTGGCTGCGCTCGCTCACCGGGACCGGCACGACGGCGGCGGCGGCGACGGCGGTGGTGGCGGCGGCGGCGACCCGACGACCACGACAACGACGACGACGACGACGACAACCAGGACCGCGACCACGACCACTGCACGCCTCTTTCATTCGCCGCGTTACTGCTGCACTTCGCGTTGCGTCGCGTCGCATTACGATGAGATTGCGAGCCGTGTTAACAGGCAAGCGTGTGCGCGCGTGTCTGCGAGAGGAGGAGGAGGAGAGTATGTCGGAAAACAGAATACCCCTCTCGAGCACGGCGCCGACGAAGGTGGAAATGCGGGTTTATCCTCGTTAGACCCGTCGCGTAGGGGCTGCACCGTGCGGCCGTTCTTCGCTGGATTGCAATGCGAATAGATACACATGTATAATAATTTCGTAGTTTTGTAGGTCGCAGAATTCTATAGAGACTTTATAGGAACGCATCGATAGAAATGAGAATTCTAGTTCTTCTTTTTTTTAAGAATGCGTCATATTTGACGAGTGTAAACTATTAATAATCCCGTAAAAAAAAAAAATAAAGTTTCTTTGGCGGAAATTTATAAGATAAATCGATCCTAATATTTGAAGAATCGCGAAGTTAAGATTCGAAGACACACGCACGTTCAGTATTCCCCTTCGTGGAAATTTATATAGTGTCAGGACTCTCAGGTATATTATCGATCGTTACGAAGGAAGATTCGAGTCGCGCAGAAAATCAACAACTCGCGTATCCGTGGTAACTTGACGAATCAAAGGGCGCGTCAGCGGGGACAACCGGGTCGGGGGCATCAGGGTCGCGAGATCGGATCGGAGTAGTAATTGGAGGTAATTGGCATATGCGCGCTCCTGGAGAATCCAACAAATCCGGTTCGATCTTCTGCTCAATCGCTTATTCAACCGTTGTCTCCGCCAAACGCGCGGAACGGTAGAGCGAAGGTAACCTGCCCACGATTTGCGGTGTAATCATCGAATCGTTCACTTCCCTTCCGCTCGCGCGTTCGTTATCATGGGCAACGAGAAGGAGGTGGATATAATTAACGTCGCGGAGAGACCCGAGAAGAAGACACTGCTCGAGAGATACAACATACCGGTGGAACACTTCTCGTACGAATTCATATCGGAGTGCACCGACGGGAGAACACTGGAGCGAATCGTTCACGTCTTACGGTGAGTTTCCTTGAGACGCTCGGAAACTCCGACGGGCGAGGGAACAACGTGTTCGTGTTAACGCTAATTGATTACCGTCATTTTTTTTATACCTTGCGGTTTTGACGCGTTGAAAAGTTTTCAATGTCTGCCAATCAGGTTTGCGAGCGCTGGCGCGTCTCTCTCTTTGCGCGAAATTATTATTAATTCCACCTTTATGACGCTTCCTATTTTACATACCTCTCGGCTCTAATCCTCGGTACATTATGCTAATTACAGTACACACTGACAATTTTTTAATTCCGCCGCGTTACTCGTCAGCGCGAGATTTGCACAACCCTCCTGCTTAAAACGCCATTAAACCCGTTATTTTCCGGCATGTTTATTAACGATTCGTCATAAACATCTCCGCATGCGGTTCGGATACCAGTTCTGGGGAAGAGGGAGAGTATCCAGATTTGACGAAGCACGCGGAGGAGCGTCTCGCTAGGATTAAACCGACGAGCGCCGTTCTGAGGAAAGCGGAGCCAGTTTTGAGGCGAAATATGTTAAATGCGGACGAGCGGCGGGAAATCGACGACGACATCGGCAATTGGACGTGCGAGATGCAATCTCGCGAGAAAGATTTAGACGAAGGGAAAGCTATCCTTGCCAACGAACCCCGTCCGCAGCCAGAAATTCGAAATATTAAAATGAATGCTACAAAAGTACGTTAATCTAATCAAAATATAGAGATATACATTTTTTGTTAAGATGCCTTCTGCTTAAGAATTGCGATAATTTGATAACATGAAATTAATGACTGTCACTTCAAATTCGTATTTTGTGACAATATTTCATATGTATTTTTGTATTAACCAATGAATTAATTCTTAAAGTATCAAATTGCGAATAATTATTAATTGGTACAAAACCGACTTCTAATTCTTATGCTTACATGTAAGAAAGTGATGTAGAATAGTTTACAATTCGTGCATCACGTTTATAGGACAAAAAGACGAAGATGAATGAAAAAAAACGTGATAAACCCCAACGAATTGCCTCGTGCGACTATGCGGCTTGGGATAAATACGACGTCGACACGGAAATAAACAGGATAGACCTGCACGACGAGCAGCGACAGGCCAAAATGAAGAAAATCCAGAAACAGCGAAAGGAACTGCATAAAATGAATGAGATGGTACATAAAACGACAGTCGATAAACGTACGTTCATAAAGTAACATCTTTAAAATGTCACGACGGTTAATTAAGAGGGTAAAGAACTGTCAGATAAATTATAAATTTCTAGAGTATTCCAGAAAGTTCGTACATTTCGTTTCCCTCATTAATTTTGATAGAATTTACAATCTCCTTGATAGAATTTATAATCTCAATCTCCCATTGATTTTAATCAAAATTAAATTCTGCCTCTTGAATTCGATCTATTAAATTTCTTAATCTACTGATAGTTTCATTAACCGGTACGGAAATAAATGTAATGGCGGAGCAAGAAAGAGAAAAGGGTAATGAAGCCTTTAAAGCGGCTGATTACGGACAGGCTCTTCGGCACTACAACGCTAGCATCGATATAGATTCGAATTTAAATGCCTACAACAATCGTGCTATGACATGTAAGCAAACTCGTTCTTTTACAGTTCTTTTACAATTTATTCTAATTATAGTGCATTAATAATTATACAACATTCTACGATAAAATAGCTAAAGATATTAGTTTTTGCATTTTTATTTTTTACGAAATCGAATTTTTCCTAAATTATTCGAAATGATAAAAATGTTAAATTAAAAAATTAAAGATTGTATTATTATTTAAAAAAATAGGATATTTTATTGCGTTTTCAATTCAAAGTTCGTCAAAATTCTGTGTTACAAAATAAGATCCCAATATACCTATATTGCGTTCAGTTATAAAACTGCAGCGTTACGAGGACGCGCTTAACGACTGCAACACGGTGCTCACTATGGATTACAGAAATATCAAAGCGCTCCTGCGTCGGGCACTGTCTCTGGAGCATCTTGAAAATACGCACGAGGTAAAAAACTTATACACATAACATTCGTATTATAGTACAGATTCACAATATTTTTATACTACTTATCATATTTAATGCCTAAATCAATTTCGCTGAATAAATACGAAGTTATCCACTAATTAACAAATATGAAAATGTAAAACTTATTTAGAATTGCGAAAAATTAATTATATGATTAGAACATGTGAAAGAGTGATTTTAATTAAAAGATTTCTTATTTAGATAAGGAATTTAAAAAAGATTTAGATTCTTCATAAATAATGTTCCGTAAGTCTCGTATAATTAACTGTATTATTTTTATATAGGCTTTGGCAGATTATGAAGCTGTTTTAAAATTGGAGCCAACTAACAAAACAGCAATATTCGGTGTGAATAAGTTGAGAAAACCATGCGACTCGAGAAAAATAAGGTAGAAATATCTTTTTGATGAAATGTATTCTTAAATACAATACTATTACAAATATATTGCAATTTTTATCGAACTCGGATTTGAATTGATAAACAGAGTCTCGATATATTACGAGATACTTACTCGCAGCACATTTGCAACTGCGGTTAGAATAACGACAATACATAAAGATGTGATCATTATGTTAGTGTCATTAAATTGATTATTCTCATAGGATGAAGATTGAAGAAAATATGAGCGGCGACGAAAACAAGGACGAGCGTATAAAGACGGAGAGAACTGTGAAAGCAAACAGCATTGAGTGTCCGAAACTGCGTGTTAACAACGATATATGTTATTGCGACAGAGCACCAGGCTCGTCGCGAAGTATTGCAACGAAGCCGCACTTAAAAGCGAGTTACTGCGTGGAAACTAAGAGCAACAAAGCAGCAGCGGCAGCGGCAGCAGCAGCATCAGCAGCAACAGCAGTAGCGGATACCGCAGCGAATAAAAGCAACGAGAAAGCAACACGCGACTCATCGAGCGGCGATAAATTATCACCTGTTGCGAGGGATTTCGGCGCCAGAAATAAAACGACGAGATCGCAAGACGCCAGGAGCGACGATATTTTCGCGATTTCGCGCGAGTCATTTCCCGGGCCGCGTCGTGGCGCGAGGGGTACACTGGAGAAGTCTATCTTTTCGTGCGTGTCGTCGCCTGTGGGTAAAAGGAAGCCGTCCACGGTTATCATTGAAGAGCTTCCGAGTGACGCAGCGTACGAGAAACCGACGAAACCTGCCGTCTCTAGCGAGACGAAGATGGAAACAAAGAAAGGGTCGAATATAATAGAAGAAAAAAGTGCCTCGACAAAGGAATTATATGCTAATAAAAATAAGGAATTCATCTCTCTCGAAAAAGAGAGCAAGACTAAAACGAAGAATAAGACGAAAGAGGGAAGAGACATGATGTTGAACAAAAAATCAAGTATAGACAAAAACAAGAAACTAATTTCTCCTGAAAAGGAAGACAAGACTAAAGCGAGTACATCAAACAAAATTATAGCTAACGAATGTCAGAAAGAAGGCAAATTGCAAATGGATCTTCAGGTATAATTTCAGATTTCGGAACACAGTATATATAACTTTGTTTTTCCTCGTGTTTAAAAATTTTCAAGCAAATTTTCAAGGCAAATTTTTAATTGCAAAGAAATTTAACTTGTTGCAAATATACACCTAATAAAATGTACGAAGTAATAAAAAAGACAAAATAAAAAGAGAAAATAAGATATTTTATATAATCTGTTTTAGAAACTGGATAACATCGAATCTCCTTACGAATTTCTACGTCTATGGCAATCCCTGAAGGATGATGTTAATTTAGAGTTACATGCGAAACTTTTGCGATGTATAGCACACGAGGACATGAATAAAAGTAAGTTTACAAAATAATATTGTCTGTCTAATAATATTGAAAATTTATATTGATTAATATTGATAACAATATTAATGATTAGATACTTAAATATTGTTTGCAATTGCGATATAAGAGTTCATTATTCAGTCCATTGATGGCGGATTTGTTTTATATATTAAATAATTATTAAATTATTTTTAACATATAATATATCTTACATTTTAGACGAATTTTTATTCTATATATAATTCATATAATTTTTATATATTTTAGAATAGAATTTTATTTATTATATATACTGTATTTTAATTTTATATGCCGTATATTTTAATGTGTATACAATATTACCCTTTGACAAATTTCATACATGTGTATATCCCAATTTTTCAAATATTGTATAAAATTATGGCACATAAAATCATAAAGAAAATTCCATCTTCAACTCCGAGACGAATATCAGTGTTTAGAAATGAGCCTGAAGTTCAAGAAATCATTTTAATTTACAGTTATAGGCAACAAATTGGATGCAGCGATGTTGAGTCTCATTTTGCGTTGCTTGGATCAACAATTCTGCACGCCGAAAGACACGGAATTGCTCGCGAGTCTGCTATACTCTCTGAGCCGATTGAATCGGTTTTCCATCATTAGTATGTTCATGGACTCCGGGGATAAGAAGGGTAATATGAAAACAATGAAATTAGTGGCAACGCGCATACAAATTGCCGTGATTTCGATCAAATTAGACGCGAAGCAACTTGTTCCCGCGAATCCGGCTGACTTGACTTCGATCAAACTCTGATTAACTTAATCGACGATTAACCATCACAATTGCTTAAAGCAAAATTTTTTATTGTATAATTCGTTGTTCCTAATCTAATCTTTTTTTCTCATTCGTTAAACAGCAAATGATAGTTCTATTCATATTAACAAAATAATACAGATATTACTTGGTAAGCTAATTGTCAATTAAATTAATCACGGTTTGACAATTATTGAAATTGTTTCAAAATATATTTAATAATATGGTACGCCTACATTTAAGTACTGTCGAATAGATGTCAGTCTATAAATAGACATCTACATATATATTCAGATATATTTATGTAGACACTATCATGCAGATATAAATATCTGAACAGTTATTTGCATTCGTTTTACAGCCCTGGAAAATATATTATGCTTCCTGGAAAAGGAGAATTCATCCAAGGTTTCGCAATTACGTCAGATCTATGCCACTTGAAGAACCGGCGCGTTAGCGGCCTCGAATATATATACATACGTTAACTCCGAATAATATATGATTATTTAACACAAAAAGACGGAATGCAAATTTGACACGTTGTAATCAGAAATGTAAAAGCGTCACTCACCGTGAGCCGACTATCGCAAGCGAAGAAGGGCGAGTTAGGCTCTCTCTCACCGTCGCGTCGTGGTAACTCCTCGATGATCCTCCGACAAAATCGGCGCGATTCGAATCCCTCCGACGAACGACGATCGCGTCGGAACGCGAAAATTCGATCGCGCCGATTGATTAATGGCGAAACGATTTCATCACCTGCTCCGCGTTGATCCGACACGCACTCCGCGGACGCGCGACGATTTTCGGATCGGCGTGGAAAATCAAAAAGCATCATGGCGGTGGACGCGAGCGCCGGCGAGCGTCGCGAGCCTTGTCGCGAGGATGTCGAATTAAGTACAGATCGCGCGCGTTGTCATTCGTTTCGTCGTCATTACACGGCACTCCCGACTCCCGACACTCGTCCGCGTGCGGAATCCGTCCCGGAACGGATAGACGAGACGCGGGGATCGCGAAACGATCGCGAAATTCAACCGCGACACCCCGGCGTCGCTCGAGCGGACGTCGGACTGACCCCCCGCGGCCCGCGCATGCGGGGCAGGGGGAGGGGGCGGGGGCCCGTCAGAGCAGTCCCGTGACGCATTGCGCCCGTTCTCCTGCACGCGCGATAAGAGAAATATCTTTCTCACGATCAAAATATCGTTAATAGCACTGTGGCATCGTTGATGTAACAATTAAGTGGATTAGGACGTAATAAGTGGCCGTATCACCTGATCGTCGACTAATCGGCGACTTGCGACGCGAGAAACGACGCCGAAGTAATAAAACGTATGTACATAAAATTTTGCATGTGAACTAACTTCACGTGTCCCTCGTGGCGCGGGAAACTCATTTTAAGTTGGAATACGCGCGTGTAACTTGTAATTTCTTTGTAACTGGTTCATGTTAGTTATTCTACTAAATTATTATTAGATGTAATTAATATTTTATGCCAATGTTATTTGTACAATATATGTATAATGGATTAAATTGTAATTATTTTAATAATGATGACTATAACTACGATAATTCTTTAAACAAGGTAACGACTAATGAGAGAAAGAAAGAGAGAGAGAAGAAAAAAGTACTTATTATGTTAAATTTAAGATTTTTTTGCAACAAAGCAGATAAATTATATATTTTAGATATATGTTTGATGTTAAATGTATGTACTAAAACAGGAAAAATAGAAAGAAAAAAAGATGGTTGGAGGAGCTGGGATTTGAACCCAGGACTTTCAGCATGCGAAGCAGACACTCTACCACTGAGTTACACCCCCGTTTGATAGAACTGCGCTTAAACAGAAAGACATGGTACGTACCATATTTTTTTTAATCGTCTCTTTATAATTACATAAGATTATAACGATAAAATATGCAATAGTACGGTATCATATATAGTAAGGAGTTGTTTTATTATAGTTTTCATTATTTTTTTTCATGGAAAAAAATACAAAATTGTTCTCATTTAATTATGTCACAAAATGCAATCTATATGTTCTACATAAATTTTTAATGCAAATCTTTATCAGCAGCATCATCTCTGCAAAAAGTGCAACTATTTTAATTGCACTTTCTTCTTCCTACTCCTTTTTAATTGTAAGCAAGTGTACACCTAGCTTATGAACCCGCCTTGAACAATCCGCGGCTGAATCCACTGAATTGGCCCGCACTAAAGTCACTAAATTTACAATCTAGAGACTTTAGGCCGCACTGTTCGCGGCGACATCATCCGCGCCCCGCGGACATGTATTATTGATGCGCTTAACCTATGCGAACAACGCTCGGCGACCCGTCGCGAGGCGAGAGAGATCCCGCATAGCGTACCGGTGTGACCGCGCGCGTCGCGATTAACCGAGCGAGCGTGGAGTGTGAGCTGTGTGAGCCGCACGCGACCCACCGCCGTCGTGCCGCGTCGAATTGCGCCGCGCCACGCGCCGTAACGCCGCGAGTACGCTCGACGACGACGACGAACGACGCTCGGCCCACCGCCGACGAGCGTTTCCCCGCGCACAGCTGTCAACGCGCGTCGCCCGTCGCCGCCGCCGTCGACGCTCCGAGTCGGAGTGAGCGCGCGAGGAACCGTCCCGTTCCCCGGCGCGATCGTCTGCCTTCGTCGTGCACGCTGCCCGCGCGCGTCGCGATCCACGACCACTCGTCGACCGCTGCGTCCTCGACCCGGCCTCGTCCCGCTGCCCGAACGTAAGTTCCGTTGTGCGTTTTAGCCCCGGACGCGCGTCGCCGGCGGCGATTTACGCGCCCGGAGCAGTTTCTCGTGTATAATAAATATTCGACACGTTAATGAATTGTTAGTGAATACTGATTGAGAAATGTTGCTGTTGGCGTTAGATAAACAAAGAGGCAGATTTGCTCTTGGTGTGCCATCTCCAACAATTGTTAGCGATTGTTAGAGACATGTGTCGAGAGCAGATAACACAATTCACACATTGATCGATATAATCTAATTATTGGTATTATATGAAAATTAGATAAACGTTTGTTGTTTTTATATTATTATTATATCAGAATATGTGTATAGAGTGATTATTGCATTTATTTATATGTGATCGAGATATAAACCTGTTTCTTGACTCATAATCAGTTTATATTTAAGACTATCTTAAGTACAGTTTTATGTCGTAAGCCAATCACAGAGCTTAACCATTAAATCTTAAGATTAGATCTAATATTACTTAAAATTATCTTGAAATAAAAACAGACGCTGAAGTACCAGCTGTAGAACAGTTGGATTATTGTTTGCGTAAAACATATATGACTAAAATTATTTACAGAAAAGCAGCTGTCGTGATACATAGATGAAACACGAGTCACTAGATGGTAGAATGTGAAGGATTGGACTGTGCCAGGTCCAAAGATAAAACCAGCGGTTTTAGAAAAGAAACAAGATTTCGTCCACCACGGCTTTTACCGAGATGGTTGGATTGGCGGGCGGGGGAAGTCACTTGTATCCCTCGCCCCCCATGCAACCAAATCCAGAGTGTAAATATTGCAGCGATATTCATTACAAGTCTTTAAATGATATTCATATTTGATCCCCATCTCTCAATAACTTATTTATTATCTCGAGGAATTTATTTAATAATTAATCATTAGCCAGTGAATAAAATTGATTGGAGCTTAAGTTAAATTTTAATATCTAATTATTTCAGTTTTGATGATTTTATTTCACTATTAGATTTATTACACTACTTGGAAAAATTATTAGTTTTAAAATTATTGCATTTTAAGTTGTGTTGAAATAAAATATATCGCTATGTCTCGACTAATTTACATGTCTTATTTTTTATTCGTTTTTAAATGCAGTGAGAGAGATGACCGGGATAGCGCCCAGCGCTCCAACCAGCGCCGATGCCTGCTTAAGCATTGTACACTCGTTGATGTGTCATCGTCAAGGTGGTGAAAGCGAAGGCTTCAGCAAACGAGCAATTGAATCGCTTGTGAAGAAACTTAAAGTAAATCCCACATATATCTTTTATATCGTTAATATTGTAAGAATTGAAGATATTGGAATGGCACCCGATTGACCACCAGCCATCACAGCGCTATGAACAGTGGAAAATCTGTAGGCCTGTGAGTGGCTGTGGTCAAACGGGACGCTCCCAAGACGATTATATTAATGTCTATTTCTACCAATGTAGATTAATTTTAATCTCGGTTTAATTTACTGTTTATCTTTTTCTAATTTTTAAAACTGGAAAAAAATGCAAAATAAGTTAAACCGAGATTAAAGTTAATCTACATTGGTAGAAATGAAGTTCAAACAAATATCTTCAATTTTATTAACATTTCTATTTCTACTGATTCCGATTATTCTATTGTCTTAGGCCCGTTCTACAATACGTCCTACGTCAGATAGTAAGCCGAAAGAACTGACTAATCATCGAATATTCTTCTTGTGATTTAACTGTGATTGATCAATTCTTACGGCTTACGGCTTACAACCTACGACGTATGACGTATTGTAGAACGGGCCCTATTTTGTATGTTTAATAGTTTCGTGAGACAAAGCCAGTCGATGAAAGAGCTGATTGTCATTTCAATCGTCAAAAGAGTGTTAAAATATTGGCACTAGAATTCAATAACATTTTAAAGCAAGAGTATAAAATTTTAGCACCATTCGCATTAGTTACACTTAACACTTACATATGTTACATACACACAAATCTTAATCAAATTCGATTAGTGCTCGCAAAATATATCGCACCTTCGTTATTTTGTCGCACTGTATTCGGTTTGTTCCTGTGATAAGTGGGCGTTAAATACAACTCAATTAAGTGTATAATTTGTAAATAGTATATTTTAGTCGTGATCTTCATAACGTAACAACAAATTTGATTTAGTTTTAATTCTAATGTGTTTAATCGAGATCCGGTATGCTCATATCTGATGCTTTATCACAAACGTGTATACAGACTGTAAAACGCAAGGTTACTCTTATTATCCAAAAATTATATTCTACGATTTATAATTTTTCACCGATTTTTCATTACATTTCGAAGCTGCAAAGATTAACATGCAATGTATTATACATTTAAATTGATTAACAGGAAAAACGTGACGAGTTGGACAGCTTGATCACTGCGATAACTACCAATGGTGCACATCCAAGTAAATGTGTCACTATCCAAAGAACCTTGGACGGTAGATTGCAAGTAGCGGGACGAAAAGGTTTTCCTCATGTGATTTACGCTCGAATCTGGAGATGGCCGGACTTGCACAAAAATGAACTGAAACACGTGAAATACTGTCAGTTCGCTTTTGATCTGAAATGCGATTCCGTATGCGTGAATCCCTATCACTATGAGCGAGTGGTATCTCCGGGCATAGGTATGTTACACGTAATCTCGCATTTATTTTTTTAGCATTTTAGTTTAATATTTGTATTTCATGTACGCATATACTTTTTTTCTTTGCAACTTAATTTTTTCCTTCCCTCCCCCCTTGTTTTAATTTTATCTTTATTATCATTATGGAAAACGCTTGATAAAACTTAATTCTATCATTCGCAATTGTGTCTGATCGTAATTATCCAACGAGGTGTAAAAGTAAAGTTGTGCATCCTGGGGTTAACGAATACAGAATATTAGAGAGAGAAAAATCATTGATTGTTGTGGTCTTCTTGGTGTCTTGATGGAATGGGTTGGTTTCCCCCGCACAGACCCGTTCTTTACAGACCTATCTGGCCTGACGTTGCAATCCGGCGTGGGTGTGGGACCCGGCGGTAGGCTGGTTAAGGACGAGTACACGGTCGGCGGCGGCGGCACGGCTGCCGCGGCGGCCGCCGCCGCGGTCGGATCCGCGATGGACGTGGACGGCGAGATGAATCAGACGATTCAGCATCATCCGCCGGCTCAACCGACCGCCTCGAACAACGCGCAGCAGGCTCAGCAGGGCTTCATACCGGGCTTACCACCGCCCAATCCGAGTAAGTTGAGTCGCTACGACCGATGTACCTTTTTCATTTGTGAAGCTTCCACTTTATCCGAAATTTTCATCAATTGGCTTTACACGGTGTAAATCTGTTTGTAATTAATGTCTGGTGGTTAAATAGTAGCATATCCACGATGAACACATTAACACGTGGACGCATCTAAATATAAGTACGTTAATAAATCATTAATCCGGCAAATCGCAAATTTGGCATGTGATGGTTACGCTTTCAGGAAAATTTACATTGGCAGATACCATCCAACTCTGTGCTAAAAATATACACGCTACACTGAATCTGACGCGCTCGATATCGATTGTTAATTATTAAAATGATTGCTAACGAGCCAGCCGCTTTCGTTTTATTGCTATCGAATGTAGATTTTAGCAGAGCAAGAATACGCTTCGCAAATTTCTCCCTTTTGTTGCGTAATACGGTTTTTTTGTTTTGGCTTCATTGTTTTCTTTTCCTTCTGATTGTTCGGCACAGCCAGTACTGAGGGTATGTTTAGCGCCGGTGGGGGCGGCAATAATGGTAATCCCCATGCTAAACTGGACGACAATAATTGCCCCAGGCAAACCTGGATTCCCACGCCTCATCACTCGGCAGGCCGTAACATGCATCATCGTACGTATTTCATTGTACACAGCTAATTTATTTAAGGAGCTTACGATTATATGTCGCTGATTAGCCATCGCTCAATGTTGCCAGTGTGCATTTTCTCGTGATTCTTAGAATCGAATCAGAATTTCCTAAATTATAAATATATAGCGCTTCACGAAAGATGAAGTAATCGCGAAATAATTGTGTGAGTGCGAAAGAGACTATCTCTTAATTTACTTCATTTTCAGAAAACGCAAAAGGTATCTAAAATGATGTTGCCATGAATTCTAGTTATGAATCGTGAATACAAAGATGAATGGCGCAACGATATTAGACTGTTTCGGATATCAACGTAATATTTCAAATCAAAGTGACGAAAGTTCTGATTTAAAAAAAAAAACTCTAAGAGTCCCGAAATTGTGGAAAGCTCATTAGTTCTGCAATGACAGATACCGAGAAAACTGTTAAATCGTTCAGAATGCCTCTTTGGGAAACGCCGATTCGCGCAACAGTTTCAGAGCAACGATAGCGAGGGCCATGTTCGTTGCGTTTTAATATTTTATGTTGCCTGCATCGTGTATGAATTTTGATTTTGCAGCAGTAGTACATCCAATGAGTCACACCGTAGGTAGCCAGCAACAGTCGCTGAATGCCGCGTCGAGCGGAACGTCCGGCGCGCAGATTCTGAGTCCCGCGCAAGGACAATCGACCGCCGACACGTTCTACAGCACTACCACTCCACCGCAGGATATCAATCAACCTCCGACAGTCGACGCGTTAGCGGCTTCACTGGGTACGTAATAAGTTCTTAGACTTGCAGAAATATTGCTACACTTCTACAAGTCTTAACAGTAAGCACAGATCCCGCAAGGATTTCCCTTCTAATGTTCTTAGCACTTTAAATATTCTTTATTGTGTGAATTCGTTTCCTTTCGGTTTAAATAGGTGAAGGACAGAGTTCTCCTGTGTCGCCTGTGCATCTTCATCATCCGAACGGCTTTCCCGTGGGTACAGCACCATACAATTCCGGTGCGCCGCAATGGACTGGTGCCAATACTCTCACGTACACTCAAAGCATGCAACCACCAGATCCTCGACATCTTCATACAACGTCGTATTGTGAGTCGATTACATACAAAGCTAGAGGAAAATTTCTTTTCTAAACTTTGTAATTCATTTATAACTTTAAATCGAATCTAATACTTCAATGGAACAGGGGGAGGCCATGGAAATGACGTCAGTGGAAACATCGGAGGATTGCTCTCTACGCAACCAGCACCGGAATATTGGTGTTCCGTTGGTTACTTCGAATTGGACATCCAAGTTGGAGAGACATTCAAAGTCAGCAGCGGTTGTCCCACAGTCACCGTGGACGGTTACGTGGATCCGAGTGGCGGAAATAGATTCTGCTTAGGTGCCTTGAGCAACGTGCACAGAACGGAACAGAGCGAACGGGCGCGTCTTCACATAGGTAGTTACAATTCAATCGAGAGTTTTCAAATAAGCATTCAAGAAAATGTTTCGCAAAGAACCTTGATTGAAATAAAACATTTTAGGGAAGGGCGTTGTATTGGATTTGAGGGGTGAAGGTGACGTTTGGTTGAGATGCCAGAGCGAGCATAGCGTCTTCGTACAGTCTTACTATCTGGATAGAGAGGCGGGCCGAGCACCTGGTGACGCGGTACACAAAATCTACCCTTCGGCGTACATTAAAGTCTTCGATTTGAGGCAGTGTCACAAACAGATGCGAGGCCAAGCCGCCACCGCTCAAGCCGCCGCAGCAGCGCAAGCTGCAGCTGTCGCGGGTCATCTCACGCATGGAGCGCCTATCACCAAAAGTAAGGACCGGTGTATCTATTAATAACGCATTTTTAATAATTAAATGTCATTATAAATGTAATTTAACAAATAAATAAAATACATTTTAATACACTTACAAAACATAATGTATACACAAAAACACAATTATTACTCAGGTCTCAGCGCGGCTGCGGGGATTGGAGTCGACGATTTACGAAGACTTTGTATCCTGCGTTTGAGTTTCGTTAAAGGATGGGGTCCAGATTACCCGCGACAAAGCATAAAAGAAACTCCATGCTGGATTGAGGTACGTTTCGTGATTTTACTTTTTAATCAAATTCTTTTTACAAAAAGAAAAATTAGAAGACATATATATGACGTTTAATACTCTAATAAACTAATATGTAGTACAGAAACGTTTTGCTATTATTTTTTAATTTAAGAATAAACATATAAAGAGTCAAATATTAAATCAGACAGTTCTGCTATTATTTTTTAATTTAAGACTAAACATATAGAGTTAAACATTAAATCAGATAGTCATTACAATTTACTTTTCATTAATTTTTTACTAGATCTTTACATGAATTCTATTTTCAATATTGTTATTTTATTTATTTTTCAGGTGCATTTACATAGAGCGCTTCAACTGCTGGATGAAGTGTTGCATACGATGCCCATCGATGGACCACGAGCAATCGAATAATTCCATCGATTCGAATTACGAGAGACGTGAAGAGAGCGTCACGATGTTGTTGAAGTCAAGTGCGCAAGTGTAACATAGCGTCGTTTGAACAATCATGCGAGTAATTTTGGCTTGGCGAACGCGAGTGAGCGAACCGGACGGACCGGAAATTCATTCAGAAATGATTGAAACGCGAAATTCGGCCGGGAAGCTCGGGGGAAGAGATCTTGCGGAAGCTATTTATATATTTAACGACTCGTGATATAATAACCTGTGTAGAGGACAGGGGTTCCCAAACTCTTCGACGTCCATGTTAGTCCGTAGAGATAAAGTATATGTATATTCTAAATTTCTATATATTTTGCATGTGCATATTTTTTTATCATAGAGTATACATTATGTAACTCGTCTCTATTTTTTTATTTGCAACTTTTGTTAGACAATCGAAGAGAAGAAAGGGAAAGGCCAATATATGTCATCACATATGATGCATAAATGACTTATTATTACATTTGAATTTTTATATGTCGAGCTTTAGAAGATTTTTTGAATCTTGTATCATGGTCGCAGAATTTCTATAAATGGCGAGAAAAATTCCCTTTGGGATGGGAATGATTAAATCAGAAATCAATAATTTAATTATTAATTTGTTTAATATACTTTATTAAATAAAGTATTTATTATTTACACGTAATATTGCGACTGAAACAGAATTTGATGTAATTTTTATTTTTGTTACTATTGTTTCTCAGCCATAATGATCATATGGAGGAATTGAAGCATTTGTAATATGTTATATTCATTATAGTATTTTACTTTATAATCCTATATTGAAAAAAATTTAAATTTTTTAATATTTGATATTCTGTTTGAATGTTCTATACGATAATACGATTGTGTTTACACTCTTGAATCATAAAATCATTATTTCTTAAATAAGAAACTTTTTTTATTTCATATATTTTGAATTTAAATTTATTGATGTTTAATTTGTTTTATCTAATTTGATAAACTAATATACTTGGAAAAAATGAGATCAGGTTATATATTGAAAAAGGATTCCGATTGAAAAGTTCGATTTGAAAAGTGATATGTCGCTGAATATATGATAGTTCGATGACAAGAAAAAAGGCTGAAAACTGTCATTTCCCTTATTCTTATTTTCCTCTTCGCTTCGGTAGTTTTTTTTTTACTGGTTTGAGAACCCCTGCTGTAGGATAAACTATGTGCCACGGCCTTGCACTACCACCAACGTACAAAAGTGAAAGAAACGTTATTTTTATTTACGAGATGTAATTTTTTACGGAGAGAGACGACACAAGGCGTCTCATCAACAGAGGAGCAGAAGAAAATAGAATGGCAGTCTTCTATTTTGCTAGGCGCGCAATGGGGAGATTTCCTCGGCGGCGCGCAGTCCGTTAAGCTCACCAGTGATACCAGTTTCAGAATCATTACATAGTCACGACCCTGTTCTCCGAGATTAGCTTTGTAAGATAACTGAACTATTGTCTACATTTATTACTTACCGCGAAATGTTAAGCTCAACATTTATATCGGACAAGAGGACAGTCTTGCTTTTCTGGATTCCTCGACTTGTGAACGTGAGATAAAGGAGTGTGTTAAAACTTACTTAAATTCAAAGAGAGAATAATGAATTTATGAGCAAGTTTTAAAATTTAATAATCCAAGCAGAACTGGAAAGGGAGAACATCGATGTTGATTTCGAGCTTTCCTATGAAATTTAACAATTAGGATCTGTGCATCCCGACGTAAACGTTCAAGGATCTAGGAATCCAGAGATCTTGGACTCCAGGGATCTCAGAACCCAGGAATCTTGAAGTCCGAGGATCTAGGAATCCGAAGACGATAAGAGTCCTAGGACATTAAGAATTATCTTTACGCACGTGTATACAGTAGGGAGATCTTCTCTAAAGACACAGTAATACATTTCTGCCAAGTAGCAAGCATAGATAGCTCGTAAGGATCACTCACGCATACACGCAGTTATAATAATCCTTCGTAAGGATAAATCCTTTTTGTATTTAAATTCGCATAGAGGAAATATCATGGTGTCATACATTTTTCTGATTTGTGAAAGGATCACACTTAGAAAACGTATTTATCACAGTTTATATCTATATTATATAGGCATAGCTGTAGCGATTATATTGGCAGAAATTTGGTACAGTGGCGTTAGAATTATTTGTTTATTATTGAATGGGTAACTTGTTTATTGTCTGTTTTACAGTTTATAACCAAAAACTATTTTATATACATAGAGAGACGATTGAAGTTCTATAATGAGCATACTTGTTCATCTTTTTTTTTTATTTCTTCGTTTCGTGAAATAAAATCTTTTAATTTCTTAGTTATCATTGATTATCATTATTATCATTATTGCGGTTATTGGAGGAGACAATGAAGATCTATGCGAAAAATGACATGTACAACTTGGAGCAATAACGAGTGCTTGCGCATCTAAAAAAATTTCAAAATCTAAAGAGATCTGAGGACACAAAATTTAAAAATCCAAGAATTTTGAAGTGACGAGATGAAATTTTAAGAATCTTTATACTATATTATTTATTCTGTGTATATTACACATGATAAATGTGAAAAAAATCGAACCAGTAAATTGAATTGAATTTAATTCGAAGCGAATGGACTTCTCTTTCCGGTTGTACGTCTCCGCCAGTTAACCGCCGGATGTTATTACTATTACAACGTAGTACTTGTTGAATAATTATACTTACTGTTTACCAGCTATTTTATTAAAATATAGTCGTACAAAATATTCTTATATATATAATATTTGATAATATTATAACATAGAGAGTGATTATATATATATAAGAATGAAAGAGAGAGAGAGAGAGAGAGAGAGAGAGAGAGAGAGAGAGAGAGAGAAAGGAAAAGAGAGTCGACCAAATTTAATGGTATGCATGTACAAGGTGCCCTAAAATAATCGGAAACAATCTCTTTGTCCACCTTGTGCATATATACTCCGCACATATACATATATATATTTTATTCTAATTGATTATGTATTCGCGAAAACAGAAAACAGATAGAGATAAATGTTTAACGCTTATTTACGACCCACGATAGTATTTACCGATTCTCGCTTCTTTGTTGCAATTTAGCCTTAAAATGTTGCGGAGTGAATGAATGAGTTTTTCATGAAAATTGGGATAGAGAAAGAGAGAGAGAGAGCGAGAGAGACGAGGATTGAACGTTACCGTTTAAACTAAGTTCGAGAAGAAATTTGCACTCTGAATATATACATAAAAGTTGTCCGTCGATTACCGTATTATATTTCTCAACGACAGATCCCTCGACGGGGGTCTGCGTGTGCCTGTTAAGGGAATCTACGAGTGGAAAGATAATTCGGTAAACGCGATGCGCGTCGATGTACACAATGCCTTCCTTTGATCGACCAATGAAAATGTACACACAGCTCAAGTATATTGTCGAACAAGAGATTCTTGCTTACAAAGCCAAGCATAGAAACACATGTGCCATCGTTTTCGTGCATATAAGGAGAGATATAAAACTTAGGAACTTCTTACAAGACTGTATTTTTAACTCCAGACTTAAGCAATCCCCCCCGTGAATCTAATAGGAACCTAAACCTACCGCTGATCTTTAGAATTTAGACTCGACCACGAAGCATAATATTTCGAGGCATCCGTAGGTCTAAGAAGCCGAAAGAAAAAAAAAGAGATTCAGACGATTCTAAGGATTTTTAAAGAATCCAGGAACGGCTCCGAGGCTCTAAGGATCCTACGATTTCAAGTAGGAATCTAGCTAAAAAGGTTCTGCGAACCTGCAAATTCCGTGGTTCTACATGACCTAAACCGAGTTCTGATCCGATCGTTTCAGGCCCGATTATACGAACGTTATTTTGACTTTAAGCGAAGTTTCAAACTTTCTCTCACTCTCAAAACTTTAGAGAGAACAAGCTTACAAAAATTTGTAAGCTTCACTTAGGATCAAATAATGTTGATGCAATCGAGTCTTAGTGCTTAGAGACTTCCTGGTAGCATAGAAAAAGCAGAAATGCAGATCCTGAAACAAGCCGTGAATTTTTTTTTAACGCCTGCATTATAAAGTGAAAACCACGAGGCGCGAATGAGCAGATGAGAATCTCTAAAATTTGCGATTGGAGGGCTCATCGACATGCTAAATGCGAGACATTGATAGCTCGTTTTCTCGACACGGAGACTTAAATATAATATTAAAAAATTGATCCGCAGCGATGTGTTGTTTACCGCCACTTATACACGAAATACTGCCACTGTCGAGTTTTATCATGAATTTTGCGAGTGTTGCCTTTAGAATGCAGCTTTGAGATGCAAGAGAATTTCATGTCGCAGAGTCCGCGGCCGCCGGAGGATCATGATTGAGTTGTCCTCGCGATTAAACTTTCCACTTGTTTGGAGAACGTTTAGCATGGTACTGCCCAGAGCCCTTCAACTTCGAAGTCTAAAGCTTCCGAGAGGCAAAAAAAACTGCAAGACGTTTGTTACGCATTATTCGTTCGTTGAAAGAATGATCGCTGCGAGACAGACAAATCTTTTTTTCTCCTTGCGTTTCTTCGAAGCAATTAAGTACGGTATAAACTGGTCTGCGTCTAAGCCAAAGATATGTTCCCCCCCCCTGACGAGAGAGAGAGATGCTGCAATTGTTACGAAATGTTTAAAATATACGACGAGCGTGATGCGAGATTCTTCGATTCTTCGCGCGCTTGGACGTTCCGAAAGAGAGGCCGGAGAGAATTAAGAAAGTGGATTAAGCGGAAAGTCGAATTAAAAATGACGCGATTTTTTTTCTGCGAAAAACTTGATGAAACAATCGAGAGGGGAAAAAATGCCCGGAGTGTCTCTTCGGAGCGTCCCACGCGCGTGCACGAGATATAATTATCCTTGCGTAATTATTTCCGTTAATCCTGCAACGCGCAGGTGGAATTGTATCGCGCGATCCTGTGCGACTTGCAATTTTAATTTCTGGATTTTCGCCGACGCGCGAAATTCACCGACTATACGTTCGATCCGCGAGTGGCGTAGCAAAGAGGCGGAAGGGAAAAAAATAAGAGGAAAACGAGATTACTGTATAGATACAAATTAATATCTGTGATTATCGTCGATGCAGATATATTTTAAGTAATTTGTACACAGCGTTCGGGCACATTTGTAAAAAAAAAAAAGGAACGGGGGGAGGAGGCGAAAAGGGGGAAAAAAGTAAAAAAAAAGAGGAAGTAATAACGATAATAACCATATACGGCGATAATACTTTTAGGGCGATTGTTGAGATAAGATTTATCCGTGTTTGTGTTGAATGCATATTGTCGTACCGCGCGTGGTGACGAAGGTTAATTAATTACGCATTAATTGTAATTAGGATAATTAATATATAGTGCGAGCACGCATATTGCTGTTTCGAGGGAGAAGGAAACTAAACTGAAAGCAAGAGGGAAAGAAGGAGGGAAGGGCACGAGGGAGCTCGAATGAATGTATTTCGCGGAATCCGATTTTGTTGTTGTACATTATAGATACATCGCATTATACACGATCATTTTCAATAAACATATTCTATAAATGATCTCTCGGCTTTGCAACATTCTCTACATGCATCCGAGCCTTCGATCGTCGGAAAGTGTTAAATTTTTCGTAAGTGTTACATTTTTTAAATATCTCTATATCGTCTATTTTAAAAAAATTTTTTATAATACAATTAAAGCTCTATATCGCTTAAAAAAATTTAATTGCGTATATATTTTAAAAATTCTAGGAAAAAATACAGATGATAAGACGCTATTTTGAAAGATGTATATTTTTTTTTCCGGAAAATCTGCATATATAATATGATCATTATATATGACTTTGAATCTAAAATTCTAAAAGCAAAGTAAACTTTTGTTTAAAATATATTTTATATCTCTTGTTATTTTATTTATTTTATTATATTGTAATCTTATCGTTTTTATTATACTTAAAAATATATATTATTTTGTCGATTTTTTTTTAAAGTGTAACATCCATTTTTTTATGTATGAGAGCACTTATTAAAAAAATATATATCTTTTATTTTGATCTTTTTATGACACACAATTTGTACAATAAAACTTATTAAAATCGCAAGGAGAGACACTTGCGTTTCTTTGTAAGGCTGATATAGCTACGACAATTTTAGGAATGCGATTTGAGTATTTAAATGCAAAATTTCGGATGTGCAAGCACAGCGAATTGAACGAATCCGAATATTCCGAATATGCATGGAAACATGGAAACCACCATAACCTTACTTTCGGCCGAATGGAATGGAAGTAACATAACCAAAGTCGGAGCGGCAAAGTGAGAAAAGATTTGTGCTATTTAGTTTGACTTGAAGACCCTATTAGTTCTCTAGTTGGACTACTTATTATGGTATTTATCATTTAATTTATCGTCAATTAATTAATCTATTTATTATTAGCATTATTTTACATTATGTGCTAAGTTTTTTTACAATTGACTGTCAAAACTCCGCTTCTGTGCCTTCTATATTTTTTACAATATTGATTTGTTTGAAGAACAAATCGTTAATTGCACGATGTTGCTAATGTCAATTAATTTTATGTTGAATCTTTTTATCTAAAAAAAAGGTGTCTTTGAGTATTTGATAATAAATTAGTCACAGCGACTGATTTGTCTTTATCTGTATGGACAAAGGCTATGATAGCAACAATGCGTGTGAATATCGTAGCCGATATAACAATACAATTTTCAGTAAAATTGACAGTAAAATTCTTCTTACAGCTCTAGCAGCAATGCAGGCCATGAGAATAGTAAACGTCAACGCCTTGACAATGAGTACCGCAGGGCTCTGCGAGACTTTCGTTCCAAATTCCGTCTTCACACAGTGCATACGTTGGAAGAGAAAACCAATTTGGCTGCCCACAGCAAAATCGAAAGTGTTCCGAGTACCAAAAAGACCTGTGATACCTGTCGAGGAGAATGATGAGCTCCTGCGTTTATATAATAATTACAGGACATATATGACATCATTTAAGTATGTGCTCAAATTACATGATTCTGTAAATCTGACTTGTAATTAATAAAATTTTTGAGGATCATACATAACAGTTTCAGTATCTAGGATATTCTAACTACTGAAACTGTTGCATACTCTTGGCCTCGAAAATTAACCGGTAATACGTTGCAGGGCGCATCTAAGACAAATTGCGAAAGAAAACGAGATACAATCCGACAAGATGGCCAGCGAGCAGCCCGAAGAGGAGGACTTCAAAGCGCGCAACGTTATAAATGACGAGTGGAATGCGAAAATAGCGGAGGAACGAGAGGCCAGGTTGGCGCTTTTGAGGGAGAAACGCAGAAACAATGTCTTGCAGAACATGCTGGAGAGAGAGCAGAAGCAGGAGGCGTTGAAGGCGAAGTTCAGCGAATTGGTCAGAAAGGCTAAGGAGGACTCTCCCACGTTCATCACCGCGGAGAACGTGGACGCTGCGATCGAGGAGTGCTTGGCGAGCGTCGTCAACCATAACAGTGCGTTAGATTTGGAAGGGAATTGGCACGAAGGGAAGTATCCCCCGATTCCACCGGTCGAGGAGACGCAGAAACCAGCGGCTGTCGAGCAACGAAGTTAAACATGAAATTCAGAAGAGTAAAGCCAAGATTTAACTGGACCTTCTTTTCCAAGTATTGTAGACTCTCGCTGAAGTAATGATGATAATTGATAAATATAACCTGTTATATTAAAATTGTAATAAAATAGACACTTTAAATATTTTTCTTTACTGTACATAATTCCTAGAAAATTAGACGATTAATAAATAAGAGCTTAATCAGCATATCACTTTATAATTAAGATGATTATGCTATATATAATAAATTAAGAATAGATTAATAATAGAGATTATAATATAACGTAACAAAATTTAAAAAATTGACAGAAGTTTCGTTGCAGAAAGTAATATGCAATAACGCGCGGAGTAATGATACATGTACAAGACAAAATCGGTCAAAGGCACGGCTAATTAACGTACCGGCTAGTTGGGCAAACTTTTTGCGTCCTTGCAGCGTGTTTGCACAGAGCTTACGGGAAAAGTGTTTGAAGCGGTCTGTATAATTAGCATAGCGCGCTATAGAGCAGCTCATTAAAACCGCGCGACTCGAATGCAACCCGGTTGCACCCACGACACACGTATGTATATACATACAGGCGACTGCCTGCTGCTGCTGCTGCTATTTACCTGCTTCCCTTTAACGCACTTCAAGCACAGTCTTTCGCGAACGGCGCGCCAAGTCGCATCGTCGATTTTGCTCCTTGACTCTCGAGACGAATGGAAACGGAAAAAAGTATTCGTAGACAAAGTGGGATTTTTCTAAATTTTAAATTCGTTGATAAACAAAATTGTGACAAGAAAATAGCCATTGAAATTGGAAAGTTGCGGTGCTCCGTGTGATAATTAGGTGAATAAAACGCGATTATTGGATATTAAAAAATTATGCCAAATATAGTATAGTTATTTAAAAAAAAAAATTTTTTTTAATCATAAACTTGCAAAATTTTGTATTGTAAAATTAATCTCGACAGGGCTGTGACGCCATAAACTCAATTTCTAAAATTAATGATTAATTCAAAAGGTTTTCTATAAAAAATTGCTCACATTTAGCTTTTAATCTTTCTGTCGAGATTAAATGATTGAAGTTTATGAAAACGAATCTTATAAAACATGATTACTCTAAAAATTTGTTATTCTTCGAAGGGTTCTTATAAGGATCAAGGAATTTAATTATTGCGAATCGGCGTATCGACGAAAATGTATAGTGTACATGTGGCACCAGGAAGGTCCGCGGATCGAAAGAAGAACTCGGACGACACAGATAACGAAATCAGAACGTATGGAGGACGGAGGAAGGAATCGATTTCTGTGAAGCTGATAAACTACATCCGTTCGCAGTTTCAGCCGGAAGCTATGTCGGGTGAGTCGGAAAAAGTTTAGCGTTCTAAAGTCCGCGATAAATTATTAAACTTTGATTGTAGTTGCTGGATTTTGCCGAGTTTCGCGTTCGTGGTTTTATGATTACCAAATATGTAAATGCATGTAAATTTGAGGTGTGCGCATGTAGGCTTTTTTCTGATGCATGAACTTTATATGTTTATTATTTAATATACAATATACAATAATATATTCTGCAGTTTCGACTGCGTGATCTAACTAAAAATACATAAGAAACTTTCGTTTATTATTTAATTATATTTATCTATATAATTTCTTATTTATATTTAATTTTTTATTTTCTATATAATACATAGGAGACGTAATATACAAATCCTATATATAATACGAAAATTCTAATTTTTTAAATCTTTTTCTCCTAACACACTGAAAAAAACATAAAGCCTCATTCACATCGTACAATATTGTAATCTCACCTAAATAATAGAGTTTAGGAAAGTACTTAATTAATATAAGTATCTTATTATTTAATCAGTCCGATCTACGAAATAAATTTGTCTTTTCAAGCTATCTTAGTCGTATATTTTAAAGCTTTTATGTTTCAAAATAGATCTCCAATGATCTGCGTTGTGTAGTTCAAAAGATAGAAATGACGGATCTCTCAATATCGATTATTCAACTTTCATTTGTTTGCCATTGCTTTTTGAATCGCTCCCGTTTCAGTTACAAGTGAGAGAAATAATTGCGCGTGTCGTTTGTCGATGATGTGAAAACGGAAAAGCACGCTGGTGCTTCCCAGAGCAATCGCATAAAATAATTACTTAGGCGTCAATTACACAAGGACGGTACACAAGGACGGATGGCTTCGATTGTACGAGTTCCAAGCTGGAACAGAATAATAAGATTGTCGCGTGGCTTAGAAACGGAAGAAGACAGTAATTATCCTGGAGAAACGATTATTCGTTGTCACTCCGCGGTTTGGGGGAACGCTATCCCCGTTCCGTTAAAAGTCACGATTTTATATTCTAGCTACTCCTTTACTGTTGTAAATACTTCGCGCGCGAACCTTTAAGTCTTCCGCGTTATAATCGAGATGTCGTCGGCGGTAACGTTAAAAAAGAGCGGGTCTGAGACCTGATTTATGTCGTCGGCGATGGACGGCTCGTACTGATTCAACCACACATCATTAATGGGAACATTGTTGGCGGTCTCCTTCAAGTCGTTACTAGCCATCATCATGGCTGTGTGGGTCGGTATAGGCTGCTCGATCGGATTGCCGGGTGCATTCGTCATTCGCATACCTTGCGACGTGTCGTTGTACAACATCCAGTAAGGCGAAAAGGAATGCTGCCGTTGCTCGGCAATGTATCTTCGTTCGAGCGAGTAGCCGTTAATTGCCAGACTAGAGCGTTGCGAGACGATCGGAGCCACGTAGCAATAGACGCAGGACGTCTGACTTAACTTGGAGTAATCCACTTGCTTCGAGACATGATAGTTCAAGATGTTCTCCAGATTGTTCTTAGGCTCGGTGGTCGGCCAGAATGCCTCCACTGTTCCTGTTTGAAATATCACTTAATTAAAAGTCAAGAAAATAGAATCTATTCTTTAAAAAATAAACAACTGATATTATTTAAGAAAAGTTTGTGATTTTTTAATCTAAAATATATATGTCTAAAATATATATTTTATCTTATTTTTACGTCATGTTCGTTTTTTTAATATCGTCTATTTATGACAATAAAATAAATAAATAAAACGCGCACCATTCTCTGCCGGTCTCTGCAAATTTTCTGTATCAGTTTCTTGATTAATGTGATCTAATCCTATCATAGGATTGCTTTGCGGTGGTTCGAGTCTCTCGAGTCTCTGATTTAACAAGTTGTTCGTCTCCTGAGTGAATCGAGGATAAAGATACTGATACTGTTGATCATTCGTATAGACATTCTGTTGCACGTTGCTTTGTCCGAAGGTGTCAACATTGCGATAATATCCCGTGTCCATTTCCCCGTTGTGTCTGCCAAAATTTTGTAGATAATAAATATCGGAGGAATCGTTGGCCATCATGTCCGTGCCGGTCTGTGTCGTGTAGTTGATGTCCTGCGCGTTAAAGTTGAAGAAGTTTTGGTCGCCATTGCAGGCAGTATCCGTCTGATACTGGTAAGCCAGATTGTTGTCCGCGTTCGCGGTAGCCGCAGCGGTGTCCGTGTTGTTGTAGTAGATCGCGTGGAACATCTTGGAGGATTGTACATCGCTGTCGGGCACCTCCATTACGCTAGTGATCGTCCAGTTCTGATAAGGATTCGGCCGATTGTCCATGTCGCTGGAAAACCTGTACTGACTGTCACCGGTCAGTACGTTCGAAACTTGCTGCGGCACCAAGTTCGCCTCGTTCAGCAAGTACTCGCCCTGGGAATTCTTCAGCAAGTTGTAGTACTCATTCGGATTATTTTCGTCCAACTCCTGGTCCTCGTTGCTCTCCGACTCGGCGGTCAGAGTGTCGGAGTTGTCCAGTAGATTGCTAGCCCAGAAAAGAGAGCTGGCGATCTCGCCTAGATTGGCGCCCACTGGCGCCTGCAGCATTCTCTTCAACAGGAACGAGCCCTGCGAGCCTCCCTCGGACTCCTTCAGCACTTGGTAACTCGATCTCTCGTTCGAGATCGCAAGAGGATCCGTGTCATCGATCAGATTCCCTTTCGAATAGTTTGAATCGACAAGAGGGATCGTTTGAAGATTGGGCGACATCGGCGTCGTTCGTAGATCCACAATACTCAGATCTTCCACCTGATTATTGTTGGTGTCGCACGCTTGAAATTCCCGCTGAATCCTCTTAAGCAGAAACTGCTTGAACTCTTCGTAGTGTGGGATCTTGTCGTCTTCCCTGCTTACTATCTCCTCCTCGGCACCGATCTGCAAAAACGGAAAACACTTTGTCCGAAGTCAATTATAGTCGTTGCGTCGCGAAAAACGAATGAAATATAGAAGTGAAAAAGAGAATGAGAGAAAAAGAACGCGAGAATGCGATTTGATTTATAACATCGCGACGCCGTATCGTGACGAATTATGGAAATTTGAAGTAACTCACCCACTGATAAGGCGACTGTTGCTGCGACTGCTGTTGCTGTTGCTGATAATAATAGTCGTCATCGACCATTATATAGTCGGGACTGTGCAGGGGCGTCGACGTTACCCCAAGCTTGGTCGAGTCCTTGGAGCTCGACGACTTCCTCATCTTCCTTTTGCGGTTCTTCCTCAGCTCCTGTAGCAGCCGGCAAAACTCGGCGTCATTTCCATTCCTGGCGGCTTGCAGAATTTTGACCAGAACCTTCTTCTGTAATTTCGAGATCGTGATGAGACAACGGAAGTCGAACATGCGCGATAATCAGCTAAATTAGAAGCAATGGGAAAGAGAATCTTTTGACGTGAAAACGAGATGGTCTGGAAATTTTACGAACATTGATACATTCTTGACTAAATTATATTTGACTTTAACACAAATTCCATTCGTTTATTTGTGATTTAAAAAAAAAACATGAAAACTCTGGATCGAAAAATGGAAAATTTAGTTTACATTAAAGTATTTATCGAAAGTTTTAGAAATCTGATAAATGAGACTTTGGGAATATCAAAGTGGGGAATTGTAATAAACACAGAACTTTGATTGCGAAATTAAATATATTTCGCAATCAAACGATCATGAATGCTATAAAAATTACAAGAGATTGTAGTTAATGATTAATACAGTATAAGTATTTCGTAGCTCAACCAGCAATTGGTCAGTTCGGATTAACAGTATCTCGTCTCTGTCTCTATTTAAACAAAAGTAAATAAGAACGATAATCGATAAAATGCATACAAATACATGAGAATGATGCTGCTGATAAAATGATTAGGGCCATGATTAGGGACTTGCATACTTAATAACCACAAGCGAAAAAAATTATCCAATCGTCTTTTATACGTGTTCTTATGATAGAAAAGTGATAATTTTTTTTATACGATAATATGCAAATAAATAATCCCTTATGTCATCAGCTGTACATTGTTATATATTTTGGGTGCGTTCCATCTCATGCATGATGCGTCCACGCACGATGCAACATTTTATCCTCATTAATTGGCATCTACAATGAGACTTAAAATTTAAGAAAAATGCCCAATCACGATCGATTCTTCTCACGTGAGATGAATAATCGACGATAATTGGTTAATTTTCTCATATCTTAAGTCTCATTGTAGACACCGTTTTAAACGAGAGTAAAGTGATACATCGGTTATAAAAACGGAAAGCACCTTCTGCGGGGAACAAAGTGAAGCGCATACGCGGAGTGCATACCTTGCAAAGGAAGGAAGAAAGGAGTGAGATGTAGGGGGCCTGCAGGTAGGGGAAGTCGACGAGAAGCGGAGGGCTGATAACGTTACGCTGGACAACTTGACGTAATTCTTGGTTAGGATCTTCGCGTATCTTCGCGAGTCAGCGTTATCGGGACAGGAGGAAACGACTCGTCCTTGCCGAGTGCGAGCAATTATCCTGCGACGGTTATTCATGTTCACTCGGGCTCGCGGAAGGCGGATGCCGCGGACGGCGGGGATCGAGGGCAGAGACGTTCGAACGGGCCGGATATCCGTTATTACCGCAACCCATCATACGGTACGATGACAACGACGATTTTCCGACGTTGCGGTGGCAAACTTGAGGGCGATCGAGGTCTTGGTTAGGAATTCCCCAGATCGCGCGTCCACCTGGGGACCGTGTATCTCTCCCGGCAGAGGAATCCGGCTGACCGATTTTAACTGAGTCACGATCGACTTCCTCGGCCCGGGGGATGCGCCGAAGTCCCTTGGATCGCGAACCGTCCGATCGATCGGGGCGCGATCTTCGACGGGATTTCGAATAAATTTCAGTCCTCGGCACGGAAACCGGCGACCGGAGAGGGATCAAGGCGGACGGGGAAGGAAGACTTCGGGAAGATCTTCGTCGCGACGACGACGACGGCGACGAAGACAGTGACAGCTCACCTTGATGTTGCCCGGTACGCGATACCTCAGGGCCAGGGCCTGCAGCTCCTTGTAGGATAGCTGCGCGATATCGCCGCCGACGTTCATGCTGCTGCTGCTGCTGCTGCTGCTGCTGCTATATGGCGGATTTTCGTCTTCTTCGTCGCTTGCCCGAGTCGAGACCGATTTTCGAATTCGAGCCGACTGACTTTTAGCGCGAAACCGGCGGAACGCCATAAAGATAAGCAGAATCGAGATCTCAGCGAAACGCGTAATTAGGATTTTCGAAGACAATTGCAGGGGTGGTGGGGGTGAGGGAGATGGGGGACACAATACATACGCCGCGGCCAATCGACGGCGCGGTATTTGTCGACTTATCGATTGGCCCCGATCGCGAGATCGGAATCTCGTTGATCGCCGGCCCGTTGGATCATCTCCAATCGCTCGCGGAAAATTAGTGCGCCAGTCCCAAATCGCGGGAACATATGATCTTCGCAAATCGCGATCTAAAAACGAGTTCGATTGAACGCACTAATTGTAAGTACGCACTGATGTGTATTAAAGCCGTTCCCACAAATATTTCAGAAATATTTTCGAAATACCTATGTCGTGCAAGACTTAAAATATTTCAGAAATATAAACATGTCCAGGAAATCATTAAAATATTTCTTGAAATATTTCAATAAAAATGCTTCTTACAATATTTCTAGAATATTTTTGTGAAATATTTTAATGCAATATTTTAAAATGTTTTACAAATGCTTACGAAATATCTTTGAAATATTTAATTCAAATATTTCAAAAATTGATTCGCAAGAAATATTTCATGCTGTATGAATTGTATATGTACATTGATCTAATCGCGAAATGTAGAAGTGAAATGTCTCCAATAAGAAAATAACGCCTAACACATATATTTAGCCAAATATATAGTACAATAAAAGATCGAGGATATCGCGGTTTAACTCGTTTTTCATATTTATATTAATCATTTTTACTTCGATTTGTGTATATATATGATGGCTTTAATGTGCACTGGGATGAGCATTTTAGTGCGTCCAGTCGAAAATCGCCGTAAGAAACAAGCCTGAAGGTGTAAGACTTACTATCCGCGCACATCAACATCCGTAATGCATTACCTTATGTTAACTGATCTTAAATTTAACAATAAACTAATTATATATTATATGATAACACATAAAGAAAATCGTAACGTAACGTTTATACGTGAATAAGAACAAGTAAACATTTTTCATATTTTATAAAGAAAATTTGGTAAAGAAAGCTTATATAGCTGAAATGTTTAATTTGATAAATTAATATTTTATCAGTTTACGGATATCATTACGGATGTTCATGTGCGGATAGCCTTTAAGGGCTTTAAGTGATGATCATCGGCGCTCAGGCGCGTCCTCTTTCGTTGTCTAGCATTATCTATTTGCAACTATCTATTTGTCTCTTTAGCAGAGATGTTACTAGTACATGTTTCGATCACGCGATTATACGCGCGTGTGACGTCTGACTTTCTCGTTTGGTCTGAAGTCTCGCGATGGAGTTATGCGCGGAATGTATAAGTAGTGATTATTAAGTACAAAAAAAAAGAACATTTAGATCTAATCACCGACTAATGGCTCCGTTGCGCTTACTTTGCTTAATTAATTTGTGCTATCAAAAAACATTAAATGAGATAAGCAAGATTTTTTCTGTGTTTTAAATGAGATTGCAGAAATTAAACGAAAGATTAACGAGAGAAAGAAAGAATGAAAAAGGGTAGGAAGTCTCTTTGTAATATAAATAAATTAAGTAATGTGTATTGACGAATTGCGTCGCAGGTGGACTGGAATGTTCTCGCGTGTGTTACTTTTGTGCATTGACTTGCGAGTTTGTTTACACAACAGAAAAAAGTTCAGCGAAAGCTCATAAAAAATTTACAGAAGACCAAGATCGAGACGTATGCACGTATGCAAAAGTTTGTGCAAGTTCAAAGTGGAAGAAAGAAAAGTAAGAAGCGTCAATGAGTGGATATTTTAGAATTAACTCCATTAATTTAATTTTTTTTTAATTAAAAAAGTTAAATATACTCCAGCTTTTTCTAATTGAAAGATTAACTGTGATAACCGTCGTGAAGAAACGTTTAAAAATAAACAGGTACGTGTCTTTTATTTGCAATTTTATAGTTGGAATGTCGTAGCTTCGAAATGCTGGCATTGTAACTTTCAGGCGATTATCGACGTTTAACGCTTTGACGTAAATAAAAGTGTAAGAACGCTATGAATTAATAACCGTTTGCTATTTTTGCGAAATCCAATGAGGATTGATCCGCTTTACCCCTCGTCGACTTACCTTCATGCAGAATCGATATATGCGGACATTAGAATAGAAAGCGAGGTTGTCACGTGCGTTTAAGCATTTCCATCGAGCTTTGAGAAAAATATTGAGCTTATATCTTTCTTGAAAGGCTGTCCCTGAAATGATGAGTACGTATATTAAGAAGTGCCAGTTTGGATTTATTGAAACGCGAAAAAGAAAAACTTTTGTATTACTCGCGTCTGATATCACGTTTCGATTTGCGCTTGACAACTTGATAACTTGTCGATCAAATATGTTAGTATTTTTTGATAATTATGTCGTTCACAGAGTTTAACGAATATATATACCTATTCTTAAATTGAGACGACAAATTGAGGTGGCCTGACTGTCAGCTGTGATGTCTCACGAGTGAATTACTTCAATAATAAAGTTATTATTGGAAGGACACATTGTGACGAGTCGAAATTCAAATGAAACAGCTATAGCAACGAAACGCGCTGTCAATTCTGTTTCATGATGTAGTACAATGTTTACCGTTTCTTAAGATCCTCGGGGCTTTCGAGGGACCTTCAAGAAAGTCTTTCAAGAATTTCAAAACTTCTTCCATTTATTGAGCTTTCAATTTTTATTTAGAACTCAGAAGTCTTCTTCAAGAATCGATTGTAAATGGTTTTATATAATATATTTTTTATTTTTTACTTTTTCTAAATTTCTATCATTGATAAAAAGTATAAATTTAGAGAAAATTTTCTGTTTAATTGTTAGGCAGATGGATTTAATTCTTAACTAATTAGAAAAGGCTGAACATTCAAATTTTTTCATTCTTTAATCAAATTCTTTTTAATCGAATTAATTCTATCTTGTAATAAGCATGAGACAAAGTCTATTTTAATACTTTTTTATTTTACAATATCTGACACTTAACTACTGATTATTGGAAAAAGTTAGAAAAAAAAATTTTTTTCCTGAATATAAAACTTTCCAGACATTTTTAAAAATTTTCGACTTCGGTGACGACAGTATTTCGAAGTAGCGATTTGAAACTTTTTGTCCGAAATATTCGAAGTTCTCGCTGAGCCGTCGCTACCACCGGCTGTCGAAGATCGTCGCACTTGCGCGTTAAAAGCGACGTATGGCACGTTTTCCCACGGACGTATCCCCCCCCCCCCGCGATGGTTCAGTGTGGCACAGCGGCGCAGTGTAACGTCATCCGTAGCCACCGTTCAGCATCGCGAAGGACAACCGCAGCAGCCGAGAGCGACGCATCCCGTGCGCAGCATCCGTAACGGCGTGCAGGCGGTCCAGACTCTAACTTTTCGCTGTACATCTCACACACTCTCTCTCTCTCTCTCTTTCTGTCCTTCTCTCATATCATCCCCCGTGCGCGTACGGAGCTCCTCGTTTTCGGAGCGTGTCTCGGGATGCGTCGCGCTGATCAGTGGTGGTGTGAATTCGAGTAATCCCAGATAATCCCGTCCCGCCGGCGATATATCAGGGGCAGGCCGAGCAGGAAGTCTGCGCGCTTGCTGGCCGATGAAGGCGCGTAAGAGTCGCGACAAACGTAAGTCCGGAAGGCGGCCGTAAGGGTTGCGAAAGAAAGAAAGAAAGGCTGCCGAGCTCATCCTCCTGCTTCCTCGCCCCGTGTGTCCGTGTGTGCGGCACCGTTCGATATACGTGCCACTGCCGTTGATAACTTGGACCAGTCGATCCGACTACTCAGCGGAGAGCGTCGTTGACAAGCGGAGCGACAGCCGGGGGGGTGTGATAACTGCCGAATGCAGCACCAAGGTGCGATTATCAGCGATCGGGTCCTCTCTCTCTTGTCTTCTTCTCTCACGTACCCCTCCCATCTTTGTGGAAATCGCCTGATTATCTGTCTGTCTATTTGTCTGCCTTGTCCGTTTATACGTAGTAAAATCCCGTACTCTATATGAATGATAGCTCTTGCGTAGGTCGGAGTCCAACCCCCTGTCTGCACCACCAGGACTGCTAATGTGTCAAAGGTCATGTCCGTGTTCGGCTTGATTCGAGCCTTTGGATGTATCTTGGGGGATGACATTTTTGGATAACACTCCTTTCTCTGATCTTCCAGGTCTCGCTTATCGATTCACGGATTCTTTCTCACGGCATTTAAATACTCGGCTTTTGTGCGTGTGAAATTCACGAAGCCTTCCTCCTTCATCTCACTCGGCTCAATTGTGCATCTCTCTTAACAGCGATGTCGCACTTTAAGATTCCGGAATTGTAAGATTCCTCGAATTTTTAGCTCTTTGTCTCTTCTTTTAAAGTCTTTTAAAGATTTCATTTGATTCTCGGACTTGTCTGAATTTCTTATTGCTTTCTCGAGGTCGAATTTTTGGATCTTCATATCTTCTAGTTTCTTTAATTAGCTGCCTACTTTGATACAGCACTTTCTATAAACGCAAAATTGTTCTACATCTAAATCTTAGTTTTTATTTTTTAATTTTAGAGTCTAGGATTTTTTAATATTAATTCTTTTTGAATAATTCTTAGAAGAAAGTTCTAGAAATTTTTAATTCTTCTCTCCTTACATTACAAATTCTTAAATTTTCTTATATTTTCTTATAATGTAACATTTTTTAGTAAAATGCGGCAAAATTATTTATAACGCTTTATAGAAAGCAAATTAGTTTGAAAAAATTAAAAAAGTTTTTTTCCATAATTTTTTATCTAGATATATTTATATAAATAATAATTATATACGTAATGCTACTTGATTGACCCCTTCATGAATACGAAATTAATAAATTCTTTGCTGTGAAGAATTTATCTCAAAGATCCCTTCACATTTCTTCACGAAATATTCACGCAATATTCACAAAAGGAAGGGGTGGTCAGGAAGTAAGGGGTAGGAGCTGCAATGTTACCATGGCAACCCCGGATACCCGGGACCCAGATCTAATAGTCGCAGCATGCGTAAAGGATGAACGAACGACGCAATTCTTTAGAAAGTGATCCTTGACATGTTATCCATCACTAAATTGTAGATGGCGTAAATTTGCGAAGAAAGTTTTCACATTACATCCCTTATACTCGCTTGAATTCAATTGTTCAGATATTATTGGACTACCCCGTTTTTACATATTTTTTAATCCCTAAATTTCTAAACTCTTAAATATTTAGATTTCAAAATTTTGCGACTCTTAAGTATATTTGTGAACACTTGAATGCTGAGATTTTTCAATCCCTGTAATTGTAGATCTTATATAGTCTTTAGATTATTTTTTGCTTTCAAATCTTTAGATTTTTTCCCCTTACGTCATCGTAGATTATAGTTTCGATTGCTTAAACAGTTCCTCTTAGTTCTCAGTAGTTTTCTTTTAGAATTTACGATATTGAGCTCTTTCTAATAGCTAATTTCTATCGTTATTTGATTAGCTAGTAATGTATATAGCATTCAATTTCCATAGTCAATCGACTCGTTGGTAAATAACGTTGATAAAAATTTAAAAAATTATTATTTATAAAGTTAAAGATAAAATAGCGTCTATTTCACAGTTTCTACACATATTTCCATTTACAAGGAAACTTGTAAATCACTTCCCGCTTTTATAAAATATTTTTTCTTAAAGTAATAGAAGAAACGTGCACATACGATTAATTGCATTTATCACAAGAAGCATCTGTGATCAAACCTTTTTATGGAAATAATCACACCCAGCACTATAGAATCCATATCAATGGATTTATCCTTTCACTCTCAGAATATGAAAAATGTATTCTCGCAATGTCTTCTTCGAGCTCTTTCGATTTTCCTCAATTCTCTTCTTGAATGATTTACACTATAGAAACAGAGTCGTTCAATAAAAGTAATTATTAATTAATGATGTAAAAAAATCGATTAACATTTTCATAAAGAATTAATAAAAATTAAAGAGAAAATTATTCAATACATGAAACGGTTATATCTTTTTTTAATTTTTATAATTTTTTAAAATAAAATTTGAATTCTCTTTTTCGCGATATTTAACTTGCTTTTAATATACAAAACATGGTTTATTTATTCGTAGTTATGGAAAAAAACGAACGACACTGTAGTGCGAATCATTCCCCCTGTCTTCACCCCTGTTGTCTCTCGCCTCTCACGACTTCTCCGCTTGTAAATCTTTGCACACTGTGTAGGTCCCTTTTAGAGTATATCCCTTCTTCAGGGATGTTATACGATGGTTCTCTCAAAAGTAGAAAAAAGTAAAGCAAAAAAAACTCTTTTGTATCTATCTCTTCCAAGTAAAAAAGAAAAAAAATTGACGAGTGACCTCCCTTCTCGGTAATCGCGGGCGAGGGGAGTTTCTCGGAACTCTTCGAGTGAAGGGTGCCATTCTCCCGCGCTCGACGACAAGAGGAGGGAGGCGCGAGAGGGAGCATCTCGAGGACGCGACGCAGTCTTAGGAGTGAAGGGCTTGCGAACTTGCAGAAGGAGAGCTTGAAGGACTCGGGGGCGTTTTAGGGACCTCCGGGGGTGCCGCGCTCGCCCTTAGCGGCCGACACAAGCCGGAGGAGCTTGCAACCCTCGCTGCCACTACCAGATTCTCGCGGAAGGAGATCCAGCTGATCTATCGGGGCTTCAAGCAGGAATGCCCGTCCGGTTTGGTCGACGAAGATGCTTTCAAAAAGATCTTCTCGCAATTCTTTCCGCAGGGAGGTAATAAAGGGATAATAATAATGATAATGATGATTATAATGATGATCGACCGCTCTATTAAACGATAAATACAAGCGTTTTTTTTCATCAATGCAGATTTTTAATTGTAAATAAAATAGATAATCGTTATTCTTGTAATAAAAATGATATTTTTGGATATATAACGTTCTTATCTTCTTTCTTAAATTTACGTAACGTTTACATTAGATTTTTAAAATTTCTTGGTTTCGCGTTAACCGAATTAAAATGAGATGATAAATTTTAATTTACATGGACTTTTTTATAAAGATAAGAGCCTTTTTTCTAAATTCTTAGATTTTTATATTTTTTATTAGATAGATGATCTATCTTGTGTTATACGAAAAAATCATATATAAAAAAAATTTTTTTTTAAGTTATCATTATTATCCCTTTCTGATCATCACGTGTTGTAGACGCAAGTCAGTACGCTCATTATGTCTTCAACACCATGAAGAGGAAACCGTCCGGCAAGATAAGCTTTGAGGTGAGCGACGTCGTAGACAAATGTTTTAAAAGGAACGCGGACATGTCCCCGCGATTTCGGCTCTAAATTTACCTAATCTAAATTTATCTAATAGACGATCTTATTCAAGTTCTACGGAAAAGTTTCAGACCACAGTTTCAGACTGAGCTGTCAATTTGTCTTTTTAAATAGGAGTTCCTCACTATACTATCGAAGGTTTCAAGAGGATCGGTGGAGGAGAAGCTGCAATGGGTGTTTGGTCTGTATGATCTGGACGGCGATGGTCTGATAAGCAAAGAGGAAATGCTGGACGTCGTGGGCTCCATTTATGAGATGTTGGGTCGTTACACGCAACCGCAAATCCATGAGCCGCACGCGGCCGCTCGTGAACATGTCGATCGCATCTTTCATGTAAGTAAAAAACACGACACCTTTAATTAGCTAGAACAAAAACACCAAAGATAATTAATTAGCAAAATAAAATTATAAACATTTGTGACCCTCCAAGACTTAGTTAATAATTTTACAATTTATTAATTACGCTAAAAAAATGTTGATATTTCTGCTAAGTATTTCTTATTATATAATTTATTATAACGTTTTAGTTGTAATGATTTAATAATAGGCGATAATTGTATAGTGTTATATATGCAGATTTTTATATAATAGATTATTAATAATTAATTATGAATAATATCTCATACGTATTTTTTTAGTTGATGGACGCAAATAAGGACGGTGTGGTGACCATCGAAGAGCTGGTGCAGTGGTGTTCCAAGAACGAGCAATTGTTACGAAGTTTCGATACTCTGGACACCGTATTATGAGATCTTAACGTTCTATCGGAGAGATTTCAGCTAGGAGTTACTCACTCACGAATAGGATGCTTGACTAATTTCCGATTTCTTGTGATTTCATGTGATTTCAACGTGATTTTAAAGTGATTTCGATTTTTTTTATAAATTTGAAATAATTTTGTATGATTTGTTTAATTTTAAATAATTTTATATAATTCAAGTGATTTTATGTTTAACTACATGATTTCAATTTGATTTCTTAAGAATTAAATGTTAAAATGACTTCAACTGAGTTCTGATTTAATTTGATTTCAAATTGATTTCAATTATGGGTGCTTGACTGATTTCGCGAGTGAATAACTCCTCGGATTTCAGTATATCAGAATATCAACTATACGCTTTGAGCAATGACTATAAAATATCGTGAATTTTTCCAGCGATCTACCTCTCCCGCTCTTTATCTCGTTTCGCAAACAAGAGGGATAAGCAAATTTTCCATGATTTAACGATTATGCGAAAAATAAAATAAAGTCGATTAAAAGCGTCAAAAAAAATTTCTCAAAGAAAGACACAAAAGTCTAATTAAATCTGTTTGCGAATCGCGAGCTTATGATTTACAAGTGTAATGCAAAATGCAATAATAATCCAACGGGAAATTTTTGGAACAGAAAATCACGCGACCAACCAAAGTGTCATTGCTTGAGACGTGTCTTTAAGAAAAGAACCCTTTCGCACATGTTTTTTGTAAATATGTATGTACCTCGTTTACACACCTACCCCAGTCTTTCAAGTACAACACTTCCGATACAGTCACTCAACGATTGGGAATCTGAAGGAATCAACGATTTAAGTTCGCCTTCAAAATTTCTTCAAGCTCCACAGCTTTAAGAATTTTTGAAATGTAATTATTTTATTAAAAAGTATCTCAAATTATATTATACACCAAATTGTTAAATTATGAATTGTTCATTAATTACTTCGGAGAAAGTAAATCGTCAGTCCGTTCAGATGTTCAATTTCTTGCAATAGATGAATTAAAAGTAATCGATATACGAATTTGATCTGCAAATGCAGAAAGGATATATTCATAATTTACTTGAAGTTGAAAATCGATTTTAACTCGATTTTAGAATTTTTCATATGATTTCGCTGAAGATGTACGTCTTTCTTCTTAGAAATTATTCCGTTGACGTACATTTTTAGAGGATCGCTATGATCGCGTAGTGTTGCGAAGTGTTTGAGCCTCGGAGAAGGCTTTAATGATATACGTTATTCGATTGACTCTTTAAAGGCGCAAGGTCTCTACCCTAGCTCTTTAAGATTTCCAAATTTTATCTTTCAATCTTAATAATATGCTATCGTAAATGCCAAACGGACTTTTTAAATCATCGATTACAAAACAATACTCTTCTCAGGCCAAGTGAGACAAATCAACGTTGTCCTGTTACTACTTGGCCTATACCTCGTGTGATTATCCTGTACCTTACTATTATATAATATTAATAATATAATATATATATAGAATTATATTGGAGTTAAGGTAACTCGTTGTCTGCCATACGTGCCGTCACAAATATCTCTCGCGTCTAATTCTTGGACTACATTTTTTTTCAGGATTTTTTAAGAACTAAATCGTTTGACCTCATTACAGTTCTCTATACGATCTGGATTATTGACGAAATTTTTTATTTCTGGAACGTTTTAATTTGCACGAAATTCTTATAATTATTCAAATATTTTTCGATTCATAGATATCTATATTTTATGTTTGATATCTAAAGAAGGATATCTTTTTGTTTGATTCCATTTTCGAGCTTCATGGCAGATAAAGTACCAATACCACTTATTACACTCGTTCTTATAAATTGTTGAGGTTTAAAATTTAATCTCTCTTACAGAAACGATTATATATATTTATAATATATATATAAAATCGACTGTTAAAAGCATTTCATGAATTTATTCACTTTCGCAAATATAATTGCGAGTTTTTTGGCGTTGTGAACGCAAAATGCGCCTTTTGCGTGTTTAACAAGATTAGCGTGTAGCGTGTACATACGTATATGCATTTTTATTAAAACGCATGTACACTCGTGCATACCTGTGAGAAAATAAATTTACCTTTGTACCACGAACTGCTGTGTCACTTGGATATTCTTAAAATATAACATAAAGAATATAAAATTTAAAAACATATTATGTATATCTATTTGAAAAAATTTAATAGAAATTTAAGAATTTCATATTTTCTCTTAAATTTTTATCAAACTCATGACTATTAAATAAACTTTTAATTTTTAATTTTTAAAATATATAAAAATAAATAAATATTTGTGTAAGTTTTAATTTAAATTTCTAAGAGTTTTGATTTAATCTTATTTTATACATATATCCTTAATAAAAAATTCCGCACATTTACGAATGTTTCTGATAACTTATTTTAAATTTGAAAAGATTGCTTATCAAAAAATAACAGAAAAATCTAAACTCACTTCTATTTTCTAATGCAAATGCAACATAATTTTACGTTTTTAATTAAGCGTTATATATCACATTTAATATATATAATATATATATATATGACACGGAACAAAATCGAAGACTGTGTTACTCGCCGGAAATATCCGTAATCTGAGAGAGGACATGATTTTTGAATGCGCAATTTTCCGAGAATAAAGCTCCCTACAGTTGCAGTCTCGAAAGGTGGATGTAGCACGGACACGCACCACAAATTGTATACCCGCAATGCAGATAAGTGAATGTTGCTATGTAGTTTACATCCACTTCTTCAGAGGGCGTTAGCGTACGTGGACATTTTAAGAAAACAAATATGGCGGACAAGACCGTATTTGTGAATCGATCGAGGTTATAGTGTCTCGGTGCGGCAACTATTGTCTGTCGTAACACCTTATCAGATGTCTTATCAAGGTGTGGAAAGTGCAACGTGACAACGAGCGAACGCATGTTCGCAAGATATGACGTTAATATGTTAAAATTATGAGTACGTTTGAGTGGACGCGAGGACAGAGGCGAAAATGGCGAAGATACAGTGGTCCTTGGCGAAGGCGCCAAGTGTTCTTAAGTAAATCAATAAATCTTTCTGTTTGTTGGACTTAATATTTATCGACTATCTGTTAAGTTTTGTTTCTTGTCACGTACCAAATTTATTTCATTGTTATCTTTGCTATCTCCATTCATGTCAGCATGTTGCATTAAAAATCAAATTGAATTTCAACGTATTTCAATTCTTTTATACGATTTTACATGAATCTAATAGGTGACGATTTGATTTGAATTGTTTAAAGGGTTAGTTTAAAACAGAGATGGTGGCGACTTCAAATCATCTTCAAATCCCTGTTCTACAATGACTTCTTGAATTGGAGTTACGCCTGTGATATACTTATGGAACCTATGTTCTGGTTTGTGGAGAACTTCACGTCCTTTTTGGGTCCGGTAAGATTTGAGATATTATATTTGCCCTCATATCGACTCATATGTTAGCTTTTGCGACACAATTCTATTATATTTTTAACACAAAAAATTTTATTTTGTATTGC